TGCTTGGTTAATAAATGTTTTTTAGCTGAATAAAAAAATATTTGCTTAACTAAGATCTGGTAAGTTGGGCTAGGAACAGTCACAAAGGGTCTGATTTATACAGACATTTTTCAGGTGTCAAGTGAATGCTTTAGCTAAGTCACACTTTGATATTTTAGATGTACTTTGAAGTACCTTGTTACTGTTTATCTCTTCTCAGTATTTGTATGCGGTAGGTACTTAATGAAAAGGGTGGCTTGGCAGTCTATGTACACCCCAGCGCCAGCTTATTATATTTTACTGCTAAATGTCTTTTGGGACAAGTTTCATAATTTTTTTTTTTGTTCGTTCATCAAGACAGGATGGGAGAAATGGGTTACTTTTTCTATCTCCTGCACCTTGACCTGGTTTATTAGTGGTAATGGAAGAAAATGCGTATCTTTTGAGATTACGCGCATGTAGAAGTCACTGTAGCTCTTAATTCCCAAATCCTGTTTTCCTGCATGTCTCTATTTTCACACCCATTCTTTTAAAATGATTGGTATTTAAATACTTAAAATTGAGAAATGAAATCACTGCCAAAATGTCATGCTATTGCAATAAAAAAAGTGAAATAAGCCACCACTCATCAAATAGCAATCTGCGCAGTGAGGTACACATTGGAGGAACTGATCGCTGATTCAGTTGGTCTTTGAAAGTATTGCCTCAAAGCTGTGTATTAAAGCTTGTGATAGACAAGCAGGTATCTCAGACTGTTGTTGCATGGGTCATATAAATCTTCCTAACTGATTAGACTAGCTGGTCAATATGCCTGATGCTTGCTTTAAGAAGTTGGTATTAAATAAAATAGTGTACTGTAACGGAGAAGCTGTTCCCTCACCACACATAATAGCCACAAGGTCCTTTTGGTTGCCCCCCATTTTCCTCACTCACACAAAAGTGGGAAGCGATGGCTGTTTCCGCATACCTCGTGAATGTCTGGAGGACAGCAATGAACATACAGCTGTACCATTTTAATATTGGGTATTAATCTTTAATTCCACATCACAGCAGTTGAGTGAATGGGTAAGGGAAAGAAACCCAAAACAAACGGCAGATATTTACATCTAAAATTCACACCACTTATTTGTTGGTTCTGGAAACATGCTATCACAATATATACAATGAAGTACCTTTAGGACACTTGTACAAATTATTTTTTTCCTTTTAAATTTGATTTCCATTATAGATAAGATAGCTGTTTTCATTTTATTTTAAACATGAATACACAAAAGAGAAGTGGTTAGAGGTTTTTGCCTTTTTTAAATAAGCACAGAATGCCAGAGGTTAAAAACACATTTACAGGGCAGAATACCAGTCAGACATCACAATCTATACATTTTTTGCTCAATTTCCTGTACAAATACACAGCATTCAAATGGGGGTATTTACAAAGAAGCATGATCAGAGGAAATTTTAAATATCACATAATTTGTTTCCCAAAGGCTCTTGCTCTCTCCAGCCTCCCCAGTTTTGGCTGATTCTCCCACAGAAGGGATATGCAATATCCCTTACCTAAAAAAGGGTCAGTAAGCTAAAAAGCAAACAGAGGACGGAAAAGAATCCGAGTTTTGCACACAGTAATAAACCCAACCATTGAGAAAAAAAATTGTAGGATTCAGAGAAATTGTTTTAATTGCTTTTCTTCTACTACTGTAGTTCCTTTTCAATTTTGTTTTTCACATGGGGCCAGCAGGTACACTGACAATGGAGAGACTTGTAGCAGAATTCCACCAATTTTCTCAGGAATGCACGTGCTATTTTGTTACGCAAAGAAAACCCAATGAAAGCAAGTACATATTAAGTTTGAATTAGAGTTAGGTATAGAATGACCAGGTCCTGTTCAAAACATCCTGTTGCCGTGGTTTATACAAGGAGTCTTCAAATCCTGCTGGGCAAGTGCAAAAACTGCTGTTGCTTCCACCTACTCCAGGACTGAGCTTGATGTTGGAGTTACACTATGTTATAAGACACCCCACCCTACAGAGAAGTATTAGTTCCAAGAAGTATTAGTTCCAACATTCACAAAATCTTAGTAATAGTCTTTCTATCTTCTGCCCCCTTTAAGGCGAGCGCTGACAAGGGAGACAGAATACTTGGAAGATATCAGAACAGTAACAGAAATTTAACTCCAGAGAGGCTTAAATTTGGTAAATTCGGCAATTTATTCCGTCCTTCTCTGTGTGGACCTGCCATCGACTGGGTGTTTGTATACATCATCTGATTGATCTTCAAACCCTTACAAACACATAGTAATATCAGACTCTCAAAATGGACTCACTGCTGTTGTACAGTGCCTCTAATCAGAGCAGGATGATATGTTTTGAGAGACCGATTAGAGCTGCAGTGGGCAGGTTTTCCAGCTGACTGGGACTTAGTCCCACGTTAGCTGCATTCTTGTTTTTGCAAAGTTTTATTTGCAAGACCTGCTGTTTTTTGCAATAAGGAAGCTCAGTAAGTCACTACATTTACCACTCAATCTTCCTGCCAAAAAAAAAAAAAGGGCAGAGATGGAATTGAATACTTAGTTCTCAAAAACTTCACCTGAAGAATCTCAGTCAGATTGGAGAATAGCATATGTGAAAATATTTCACTCATTTCTAAGGAATTACCTGACTGACTTACCTTTACCAAAAACATAATTTTGAGTTGAGTTCTTGTATGTATGTTCTATACCAGAGATCCAGCTTGGTTCATTAACATTTAGGACTGTCAGTATTGGAAAACTCTCCTTCCTGCTAGAGATATGTCCACTATAGGCCAGGTTTTATCATCATCTTAATTGCGAAGGATATGATTACAAGCAGCCTGTGTTATAACAAAATAGAGGAAGCAAGAGAGACTTTGTTCCAGCCAAATAGGCCATTTAAGAAACAAATCCATAACTTAGTAGTTTTGCATGGGCTAGAGCTTGAGAAAGGAAAGAAAAATCCTCTTAAAATCCCCTTCATACAACCGCTGAGTCCAGACTTTGCACAGACAGACCATCTTTAGGAGAGTTCAGAAGCAATGTACTCTGCCCAGCCACTGTATTTAGAGGTAGTGCTAAAGGTGACCTGTAAAAGATTTATGATATCCTTTTTTGCTTCTTTATGCTGTTTGTAGCATGAGAAACTGAGTGGTTAGGGCAAGAATTGGATATGAAAGTTGAGTGCTATTCCTGTTTCTGACACTAATTTTATATGGTGGAGGTAAGTCTCTTATTTGAATGTGCTTGAGATTTTTCAGTGGTAAGAAAGAGGGTGGTCTGTTACCATCCTCTGGAGTGTGCTTTGCAGTCTGCAGGTGGCAGGGGTTATAAGGAAGGCTAAAATGTGTGTGGGCATGGTAGGGGGAAGGAATATTGCTTGTTTATCTAAAACATTAAATATTTGATACTCTCTTGATTGGAAGTTTCTTGAAAAATACTGAAAATAGGAGTAACAGATTTCTTAACTGTTCTTCTCAAAGAACAGATCTTGGCTCTATTACCCACAAATTTTTTTCCTGGTTTGTGATGTCCTGAACTAAGCAAATACTGATTAAAAGGCTTATTTTATGTTTATAGACTTGTACTGTCTTCATCTCTGCACAGTTCTGTTTCTTGTTTTTGTTTGTTTGTTTTTTAAACATTCTTCAGCCCTTTCTGGAGCTGGTCAATACAAAAAAAATAGGGGGGGCGGGAAGGCTGTATTGCTGCCTGAGGAGAAAAGAAAAGAAATCAACCTTCCAGGAGAGAGAAGGAGCTCTTAAAGCTTCTTTGTACACTCTAAAGAAGCAAAAGAGGAAACAAACATTTCTTCTTTACAGGTTGCCTTTAAGATCCCTGACTAGGGTGTACACTATATACTGGGCATTTCTTGAATCCTAGTGTTTCCTGTCTACTGTGAGAGATGGAAATTCTTTCTGCACATCAGCTGCAGTGAGTTTTTGGGAGGGACGGAGGGCATTATGTTAACAGGGAATGAATCTCAGCTCCTGGGTGATGGAAGTTGGTGAGAATTGTGATGTTCAGCCCTGAGGCAAGGATTGTTGGATATGGTGCATTTAAGCCACCTTTTCTTCACTGGCTGGGTCATCAACCAGCTGTGGCATGAAAAATTCAATTTGGTTGTGGGTGGGTGGTTTGTTTGTTTGTTTTTTTCAAACTGGAATAGAAATGCTGGTGTCAACAGCCTGCCCAAATTTGGGCATGGGAAAGGCCTACAATGAGGTTGCAGCTCCAATGGCTACTAACCTCCTCTCATCCTGTAGCACAGATGAATAGCATATGATTCCAATGAGAAAGCAGGTTGGTTTAGCCAGTGAAAGCAAAGTTTAAGAAATCAAACAGTACATAAAAAACAAAGGAGGCAGAGTTTGTTGGAAATGATATCTTGGAAATCAGTGCATCAGCACTGGTTAGATTGCCTCAGCACCTATGAACCAATGCAGGGAGATCACTGCACAGATATGTACAATCCTGCTCTCAAAAGAGCCAATTTCTTCTTAGAATTGCGCCATCTTTCCACTGCCTGCAGCTCATGCACCTTCCAGCCTGACAGTTCATAGAATCCCTGATTTCAGCAATGAGCTTTCACTTCCGTACAGCAAAGAAATATGTCCCTAGTGCAACTGCTTCTACTCATGTGCGTCTCAGAACTGGGAGGAAAGCAGTTTCAAAATCAACTTGCCACATTCCCCCCCTTTTTCCCCCCTCTGCTTAAAATTGTATTTTTCAGCTTCTGCAAGTCTCTATGGCTTGTGTGCCATTTGATGTGGTTAAGAAACTGCAGAAGGAATAAACTGTCCACTGCACAGAAAGTTAAAAAACATAACGGAAAGGTCTAAAAAGAAATTAAAAAGGAAAGCAGCAACCTCCCATGCTGGCCCAATTGCTTTTGTGGGCTCCAGACATAAACTTGCGGCAGTAGAAAATTGGTTTGCTGTTCTCCGAGTCCTTATCTCTCTCCTTTGTAGTCAGACCTGGAATGATGATGCAAGCTGCTTACCAGGAGTTGTCCCTACTGCTCACTGATGCCATGCTCCCATGCTACCCTGGCCTGCTCTTCCTTTCCACCACTCGCTGGTTGGGACACTTTACGATGCAATGGGCGGTGTTTGTCATCATCTTCAATTATCATCCCCTCCTCGTTCTCCATGTTTGGCAGCCGGGAGTGGTAAGGTTTGGGGGGTAGAGCAGGAGGGTCCATGGTGTCCTGAGGAATGACTCCAGATGGAGCAGAGTGGCTTCGGCATGGCTGGGATTTGAGCGACTCTAGGACATCAGGCTCAGAGAGACTGTACCTGACAGGGAGGTAGGGTGTCTCTAGATCTTCATCGGTGTTCCAGGCCTGGCTGGGGACAGAATCCATGGTGTCTGTGCGAGGAGGTGGTTCAGAAGAATGTCCAAAATTACTCTCGCTCAAGGAAGAGACACCACTGCTGGCACTGCCGGATAAAGTGGAGTTACTTCCATCTAGACCAGACTGCGGACTGGTGGGTGATGCAGGGATAGGATGAAGAGGGGACTGTTCGGAGAAAAACAAAAACCAGGTTAAAACTGACAAAGGAGGCAACACTGCATCTTGTGTGGTGTTCCACATTTCAGTTGTTGACAGCGATGTTAATAATGGTGCAGTTCCATTTGTGTTCAAAATGTCAATGATTATTGGTTTATATGTGCACTTCCCTGACTTGTACCTCGTGTGTTAAGTGCAACTTAACACCACCAGAGCTGTTAAAGAAACAGTCGTTGAGTGATAATCAGGGTGCCTGAAATCACAGTGTATGATGCGAAGAAGGAAGGTGGAAGGGCCTACAACACGTCTAAGTTATTTCTATAGAATTCAACTCTGGAATAGGTTATGAGCTTTCAGTGGATTTTCTCATGTGTACATTACTAGCATGTTAAAAATAATGTTTCTGTATTCCAAAGCTGCTTGGTGGGAGTGGAGGAGGGGGTTCCTTCAGGAGCCTATTATTTTCCTTCTACATCTCTCTCTGCTGTCCTGCCACTTCCTTTTTACCTTGCGCAACGTTCGTGCAGGCAGTGCCGGAGGAGCATCACTGAGCTGGTGATGGAAGGCATCAAAGTGCAGCGAGTAGTGTCCTGGAATGAGACAAGGATCAGAAATGCAGACTCGTGCTGCCTCACTGCAGCGAAAGAGCTGGGGTTTTAGGCTCTGTAGTGCCACGTAGCAGCTCCAAATGCTGATAAGGCCACTCCAGCCTAGGGCTTCCTTTCTGATAGATACTGTGGAGTGCATCTGTCACATCACAAAACACAGCAATAGATTTCCACCCACCCCTGTTATCGAGGATCTCATGGCAAGGCAACAGGCTCATAAACTGAACATTTGAAGTTTCATTTAATAGCTTTATAACCTTAAATTACCGCTGAAGATGGTCATTGGCAAGAAGCCAGGCCAAGCTTCAACACTCACACACCTAATTCTAGTCCCAAAACCCACGCAAGTCCGTATTACTGTAAGGACTGTAAAAAATTTGAAGATTTTGGAAAAAAAAAACCCCACCCCAAAAAATTTTAAAACTTTGTCCAGTAACTAACCTAGCAGACCAGGAAAGACTTTGAGTTTTTGTTTCTGATTGTTTTTATAGGGGAAGAAAAAGCTAAGGTCAGCTTTCAGGTGGTCTAGATTTATCTGTGCATGACTGCAGACATTACGCAGCAGGCCTACTGGGCATTTCCTTACCATGGGACAGGCTTCGGGGAGGTACTGGTGGGGCCAAGATGCTCCCAACGTGGGCAGACAGGAATGGCAGGGCCTCTCTGGTTCCGCTGTCTAGGCTCCAGCTACTGGGCGCTGCTGGCACAGCTGAAGGATTGAAACAGATTTAACTTGGGTAACATAACAGGGAGTTTGTCGGGCCAGAAGGACTGGCTTTCCGGTGTGCTCTTTAGTAGTAAAGAGACAGACTCTAGGGACTTAGTGAATGGTAGGATTGAAGGCGTACAAAGACAGCATCTAGGCTACAGTGTGTTAAATTTATAGGTTGCTTTGTTAAGGAAGCGGGAGTTAGGTGATGGTAGTGTTAGTCTGCCCATCTCCCCTCGGCTCATTTCTAGCAAATTTGAAGAGCAGTAGAACTGGTAGGTTTTTTTTGAAAACCAGTGAGTAAGTAAAAATGAAATCTCACTGACGGAACGGCAGCTAGATCTCAGCTGTGAGCTGTTCTGCTTGGCGGTAAATGATGACAGAGCAGAATGGAACGTGTGGCACAACCCCCATGAAACACAGGAAGGCCTGTTGCTGCACTACAGTGGCTAAGTGAAGACTGAATAAAGGACATACAGGCAATTACACCTCAATCTGTTACAAAAGAAATCACGACTTTAAAGCCCCAATTTACTAAGCTACAGAGTTGATAACAAATTTTGATCACAAAATATTTAAAGACAGCAGTTTGGACTCCTTGTACTGTAAAGTCACCTGAAGAGATCAAGTCTTTGTTGATCAGGAAGGATAGAGAGAGTACGATCCTCGTGACTTTGCTTTTTCATAGAAACAGAACCTTCTTTCTAACATGAACATTTTTCAAGATCTGGAGAACTCTGTCAACCTTAAACATTATTAAAATGCACCTTCCTTTCTTCCAAACCCACTGCAAGACTTGATTCATTCTGAGAAGATAGACATGCAATAAGTGTATGTTTATTTGAAAACAAATAAGCAATTTCTTCAGATTAGCAAAGAAAAGAAAAAAGTAGTTCAGTGAGCCTACCAAAGAAAACTGAGATAAAAATAGCTTTTTCCATCTTCAGTTTGGAAAAAGCTATGGAAGCCTGGAGAATAAACATGGAGTTTGACATCTCCTTAATTAAAATGCCTGCAGCCATTTTTGGTGCGGTTTTTTTCTAAAATGATTTTGAAAGGTTTCTTTGGGTTGTTTTTTTTTTTCTCCTTAGTTCATGAGTTAGCATGAACACAAGCTCCCCAAGACCTGAAATTCCCTAAAGTAAAAAATATCACAAAGTGACAGCTTCATAAGACAGAACAAAACCCATAAAAATATAAAAGTAAATGTTGTTTTTAAAGAGAAACCCTCAAACTGAGAAAGGCATACAAAGAAGATATGAAGAATCTTGACAGAGAACAAGTTCAAACCAAGGGATAAATCTCAACACAGGTAATGTGGCTTCAGATGAATTTTCTGAACACCCCAGTACACATACCAGTGCTCTAATTCACACTACTGCAATTGGTGTCGAAAGGCTAAAACAGAGGGACAAGATGTGTAACAATGCCAGCTGTGCTAGTCTCTCCTGCAATATACCAGCATCAAGTGAAAAGGACAGAATAAAACCTGATTTGCTTGGCCTGTAAAATGATGTGCTTGTTTTGGGGCTTTTTTAAACATCGAGATGCAGTAGAAGAATGTGAAGAAGAGAACATGGTACCCCAGTGCATAATCCATTTACATTTTCTCAGTGTTCCCTCATTCATGGCCTTTTGAGTATTTAGGAGTGCTGGAAATCATCATAAGGTCAGATGCTTTTTGAGAGTGGCGGTTGCCTGTTAAACCCAGTGTTTTATCCAAAACGCTTTGGGGAGGAACCTACCCAGGGAGCTTTTAGTACTCTGTCCTAGCCCATCTCTCTCTCCAGAACAGCGTTCAGTGGCTCGGTGGCCGAGTTTAATTAGCAGGGAAGCTGCATTTGAGCCATTCTGCTCTGGGCGACTGATGTCACACTGCTGTCAATGAGAATTACTGAGCAGAGCTTCTGACATAGCAAGGAAGGGGGTGGGTAAATTCACGGGGCATGACTGTTAACAAAACCCAAGACATATAGCATCCTGACTTACAAAGAATGATGAGGGTTCAAGGGCTGCAAAAAACACCTGTAACTGCAATTATGCTACCAACCTGGCTGAAGAGCTGGGATTCCCATCACACCATCCCCTAAGAACAAATACTGAACATCATCTGTGTCTTTCCCCTTTCCTTTGGGCCTCTGGAGGGGATTCTGTCTTTCATCCCCTTCTCTTTGTGCCGTATACTACACTCTTGCATAATACTGCCCACAAATACAAATTCAAGTATTTTTTCCTAGACAGGTAATAAATGTTGATCTACCTTCCTTTTCCAATCTTTCTCCTCTCCAGTATAAAGATCTCACCACCTCTGTGATATATTCAGTTCAAACTAACACAGCTAAGATGGAGGTCTTAATCCCTCACCCCCCTAGTCTTAACTCTCTGTTGTCATCATTCGTTATTGTCATCAAGTCATCATTCTGCCATTTATTCAGAACTGTACATTTGCTTTTGGTTTCAGTCTGGACCGCTCTGTAAGGCTGTCACATTGTTGAAGTAGTGTATTCCGATTTATCAGAAATTCTAAAATAAAATTTGGATTTTTTTTTCAGAAAGATACAGTTTAGTTCAGGCACAGCTACTGAAACAAAAATACTGATAAAAGTCTAATGGAGTGTATTATGTAGGTCAGACTAGAGAATTGCGATGGTCTTTCCTGGCCTTAAAAATCTTTTAAGATACCATTTTTCCTAGCCATACACATGACTGTTGCTTGCTTAGGCAGCCTCCTTGTCTCAGATTTTGGCTAATGAATTTTGCCCACTTCTGCTTTTTCAAAATGCTCCTTTTCAGATCATTTTTTGAGCCCATCGCTTTGTCCATGGCACCCCTTTCGCAAGCTCCTCCTTTCTGTTACACAAAACAAACTAACTCCTTCTCTTCTTTCATGTTTTTTTCTGCAGGGGCTCTGCCTGTATTTTTCAAAGCAGTGAGTTAAAAAAGCATACATTCCTAATGATAAACTTAAATATAAAACTACCTCAGAGAGGGATTACAAGGAATGTTAATATTTTGAACAATAAATACATATTCAAAAAAGCAGTATATCTCATTATTTAAAAATACCATCCAAATCTTGCACTCTTCTTTCAGATAACTTCTCATTTGCTGCTTTGGAAGTTTTGCATGATAAAGGCTGCAGGATTTGTTTCAATAACAAAATGCTAAACTCAGAAAGCTTTCTGAAATAAAGAGGTTTGTGCAACTCCACCCTTCTGTGAATGATCTGAAATAACTATAGGTTGGCAGAAGGCCCAGTTAATTAAACTGTTAATTAAAAAACTGTGAGAGAATGCACTCTGCCAGGAAATGTAGAAGCCCATTCAGTACTTGCTGTAGCATGACCAGAGTAATAATATTTTAGAAAGCATGCATGCTAACTAGGAGAAAGAGTACCTTTCTCAGCCACAGACAGGTTGGGATCACTGCAAGGTTTGCATGGTCCAATCATTTGCTGGATCAAGGCGCGCTGGAAATTTGGAGGCTAAGAGAGAAGAAAGTTAGCACAGAAAAGAAAAGAAAAAAAGAAAAAGTGTTACAGAGTTACCGAACAGCTGGTGCAGAACCCTGGGGCTTTCTGTTCACTTTTTTTTAAGCAAAGGAAGTTTTTTACCTAAAAAAGTCATGGGAACCTTAGGCTGTGTCTACATTAGCAAGTACTGCAGTGCAATACTAGTGGATCTCTAGAGTGTAACAGTGCTGAGGACCCACAATTCATGCTGCTTGTGTTCTCTCGCGGAGTTACTTCAAACTAGCTCTAGCCTGGTCTTGTGCCCTTTATCAGCTCGAATGCATCACGTGCCCTTCTGGAGCTTACCTTTTGCTTTGGTTTCATTTGAAAGAATTGAGTTTGCGTGCTCTGAGACAGTTCTCTGAGGTGAATTGAAGTGCGGTAAGTGGGCATGATCAGGAGATTCCCTTCAAAAGTGCATGCCAGGGCCAGATTAAAATGCTTACATGTAGGCACGCCCTGAATTTTTCAATTTGTGTAGAGAAAGTAGTAGATATGGGCACAGATTGTTTGGAGACCCTGTATCAGTACATTATTTCAGCCTCTTGTGGTTTTTGATACCTCTGGAAATCACCATGGAGCTATTTAGAATCAACTTTGAGGCTAGACTGCAGGATGGCCACGGTTCTAGAAAAATGAATAAATAAAATGGTATGACCGCTTGCAGTGACCGGGGCTCATAGGATAAAGTTGGGAAGTAAGAAGAGTCCATTTTCACAGCACATATCTGCAATTTTAACAGCCATTACAATTTGTATCCCTTGACTACCGAAGTGGGTGGCTCTAGGGGGCAATTAATAGGAGAAGTTCTGCACTGCCTCTGAAAATGATCCTAAGGAAGTTGTTGTGCTTTCCAAAAATAAAAAGGGAAGCTTTACAGTGGTCAAAAATAGTAAAAATACAAGTCACAGTTTCAGGTGGTTGAACTGACATACAAGAAATTAGATCTGCTACCTGTCCGTTTTCCATGATAGCTGCGGGATACATGGCACTGCTAGGTCGGTCCCGATGGGTTGGCAGCAACATCATCATCTCCCGAGAGTGGCGGTACTTATCTGGTAGAGAGGGAGAGCCTGTAAACAAGTGAGAATAATCACGTACACGTGACAAACAACAGCCATGTCTCCGCATGCCCAGTGATCTAGTCCTCCTTTGCAATTTGTTCAGACGGATGATCTTACAGGACTCAAGAAAACATGGTGCTGAGCCCACTAAGCAGCTAACTGTTGGTGGGGTGCGTAGCACGAGGATGAAATAAGAACTGGCTTGTTATATACAATTAAGGACATACCATGTAAGGTGTGTAAGATATATGTGTCCCTAGTTGTATGTTGCAAAGTGCTTCCTCTTAAAACAAACAAACAAGCAAGTGGGCATCTGTGTGGAATCAGCTGCGGCTGTTGTGTACAGTGCCTAATGCTCCCTCACCCCATAAAGTATTCTAGGGTTACAGAAATGCCATAAAATTGTGCATTTTAGGACTGAATATGGAAGAAAGGGATAAAAGCTTGAGATACACCAGTCAGTTAAAGCAGGAAGCTACAGGAAGCTACTTCATGCCTCAGTTCTGGTAGAGATAGTCTGATAGGTTGCCATTTAGTTGGCCATACCTTGGTTAGCTTCCTCTTTGTTAAAGCAAAAAAAAGCCAATAATAAACAGAATTTTCTATAAATGTGGGTGGCACTTTGCTTTTAATGCCGCTGGGTAATGTATGATTACTACTGAGCGTGTTGGTGTACTGAGCCATTTTATGACAAGAGAACGTTTACCAATGCTTGGAGTTATATAGTAGGAATATGTTTGACTGAACTATTAGTTATCTGTATAGTTGTCATTTAAGATGTTGGGATTTTTCATGTAAACAGCTTCCTGGCACGTGGAATTATTTGGGACTCATGTCCTTCAAGATGAGTGCCACGTAACAATATGCCTTCTGATATCCAACAGCTGACAATGGATTTGCCAGAAGAATGATTCCCATTAGTGACTTCCTAAAGTCTGATACTACTGATACACGCATCCCTTGGGATGCACAATATTAGGCAGGAATTGATGTTCTGAAGCTGCTGGAGTGAGCTTTAATTTGCACTGATTATTTCATTGCGTCACAAACACGCACTTAACAGATGGCAGCACACAGCGCATTACAGAGCCATGCCGGCTTTTGGGGAATACATGCCCCCTTTTGCAAACTTTCCACAACCACACACATTACCTGAACAGCACTCCAACGTATGAGCAAAGGCATTGGTGCTGGTTAATGCAGCTTTTACCCCAGCAAAAGCAAACATGCAGTTTTTGGGACTAATATTCAGCACACAGTGGAAGGAACAATGTGTCCAGCAGAATGCAGGATAAGGTCCTACAATTGCAACAATTCCATCAGGGGTGGCAGATCCCAGATTAATCTACACCCCCACCCCAACATGAACAGCCGCAGAGTATCTGCATTCTAGTTCCGAACTCATTTTCTCCCCAGACATAAAACAGAAACATAATTAGACAACATTATTTGCTCTTATATACAACATCAGCTTGGAAAACACAGCGTTAACACTTTATGCTGAGTCTCTTTTACTCACACATCACAGGTAGTCCTGTTTCTGCATGACAAATGTAAGGACGCTGAACTTTTAGGTGTGCCCAGAACTATATCACAGCACAACCTACACTGTAAACTTTTCCCTTTTATTTATCTTGTCGTCCTTGTTCTTTAATATCCAAGATGCAAACCACCTCTATGTGCCATCAGTTTATATGGGATTATAGTTTCCACAGACCTTGCATTGCATGACCTGAAAAATCCCACATGTGCTAAATATGGCGGTGGCAGAGTCTAGTTTACAAAACAGCTCTGCTGTTTGGTACCCTAAATTTGTAAATAACTATAGCTATAAAGATTGTAACAGATTATGCCAAGTATCCAGTCTGCAAACAAAATTAAGTACTGATACCTCTGAATTGTGGGCCACAAGAGGAGTGGCTATAACTGAAGCTTTTATTAATACCAGGCCTGCTTCTCTGGACAGATGGAGAGCACAATCACCATGGCTCCTTTCAGGGACTGGCAAGACTTAGAAAACAAAGTCAAAAAAAAGCTTTTAAAAGCTTTCAGAGCAGCCAGCGGCCATATAAAATGCTGCAGCATGTATCAGGGTGTCCTGGTTTCGGCTGGGACAGAGTTAATTTCCTTCCTAGTAGCTGGTACAGTGCTGTGTTTTGGATTTAGTATGAGAACAATATTGATAACACACCGATGTTTTAGTTGTTGCTAAGCCGTGCTTACACTAGTCAAGGACTTTCCAGCTTCCCATGCTCTAACAACTGAGAAGGCTGGAGGGGCACAAGAAGCTGGGAGGGGGCACAGCCAAACTGGCCAAAGGGACATTCCATACCATGGGACGTCGTGCTCAGTACAGAAACTGGGGAAAGCTGGCCGGGGGGGGGCCGCTGCTCGGGGACTGGCTGGGCATTGGTCAGCAAGTGGTGAGCAATTGCATTGTGCATCACTTGCTTTGTTATTATTATTATATTTCAATTATTAAACTGTTTTTATTCTCAACCCACGAGTTTTTCTCACTTCTACCCTTCCAGTTCTCTCCCCCATCCCACCGGGGCGAGGGCGGGGGGGGGAGTGAGCGAGCAGCTGTGTGGTGCTCAGTTGCCGGCTGAGGTTAAACCACGACACAGGGCTTATTCCTTGTAGCTTGGTACACTTGATGTGTGCAGCACTGTACATACTATTAATGAGAAAGGAAAACCTATGCTAAAGCCAGAGGTAGTTTTTCTTTCTTAATTATGAAAATATTAATCCACTTGTGACAAGTATTAGTTTTAAGGAATGAAACTGAAAATCAATGTAGTTAAACTCCAAACTCAATGAATCTTTTCTCCCGATTCATCATTTTAATTACTGTTATGAAAACAGTTTGCTCCTGCACCAAATCATAAGTTTTTTGCTTTAAGAAGGAAGTTTTAAATGTAAGTATATGGGTTCTTGCAAAGTGCTGAATAAGACACCAGGACTCATTTTCTACACCTTAAAAAGGGGGCTGTGTTGAGGAAGCAGTAGGGATGCCTTAAGAGGTGAGTCATCGAGTGTCAAGTGGGAGTTGCTTTTAGAGTGCATCACAGGAGTCCCAACCATATTTTAAATGAAATTACTGAAAAAAAACTAACCCACTCCTAGCCCTTTCCAAGCCTTTTTGCGTTACAATTTCTGCTTAACCAACATCGGCTTACATAATCTTTTAACTCCAGTAAGGTTAGAGCAGTGCCTCATGAGTCACCTCAAATGAAGCCAAAACAAACTCAGAATTTCTTATTGATCCTCCATACAACAACAGTGTTGCTTTTTTGATAGGGAAGAAGCTACACAAGGATCAACCCAGGTGAAAACTGAAAGATAAATCTGTTAATCTGAAAAATAACTAGTAATGTCTTTATCGTTAGCACGGAATTAGAAAATTCTTACTGTATTCTGACTACAATTCTATTTAAGACTTCTGCTCTAACTTGTGTCTATTATAATGAGCGTAAGGTTTGCTGCTTTAACCTGCTGTTCAGTGATATGATCAAATCATTAATCTACTGTCTTGATGACTATCCTTTAAAAAAAATTTTGGATTAATGGCTTTATTATTTTCTTTGGACAAGCCAAATAATTTGCTTGTGTTGCTGTTTTAAACATCAATGAAAGGGTCATTTTTTGGAAGTGGAGAATTGGAAATAATTCCTGCTGGATTCTTAATACGAATGGCCATGGCTTCCTTTGGTCATGAATGGAACTAATCTATATTATAAAGATACCCATCTCCTCAGAACAGTGCTAGTAGCTGAGCTCCAGAAAGGACTCTGCAGTTAAACAGAGACGGTGGTATAAGTATCTGGATAATGGGATAGTGGTTTTTCACCTCTACGTTAATGTTTGAATCAACGAGAGAAGCTTTTAAACATCTGACAAAAAACTAGAAATCCTAGATAACCATGCTTAAGTTAAAGCCACAGGTGACAAAGAGGCTAAGTTGATAAATTTAGGTGGCCTATCCAAAATGAATTGTTGGCCTTCGTATACTTCCCGTCTGAAAAGTGGTTAACTGTAGCATCGTGACTATCGTAGCTTTGTTGGCAGTCTCAGCAGAAAGGCCAAGGGTTGGATGGGTCATGGTGACTGAACTATCCTCTCACCTCTAGAGGTGGTCCCTCCAGGACAGAGATGAGGCACATTGGTGGGGGCAGCGTGGGGAAGCTTGCACGGCTGCCGCCCATGCTGTATCTGTTCTGTGGATAAATAGAGGGCTTCAGCCTCCAGTGTTGTCAATCCAGCACCTTTCACCAGCACTAAATTAAAAAGAATATAAATAAATACAAAAAAAAAGGAAAAAAAAAAAAGGATAGAGGTGCATTGGCAGAGCTGCGCATGTAATGTTTGTGAAGTACCTTGCTCCAGCCAGTGATACTGGTCTCTCATTTTCACAAGCATCAAATTCACCCAATTAAAAAACAAAAGAAAAGGAAAAATCACGAAGGATAAAAACAAAGCTGTATTACCACAGTGGAACTTAAGTGTAAGGGCTTTTTCTCATTACAAACAACTCCATTGCAGACAGCGGTGTCGTAATAACCAGAATAGTGACTTGCACACTGTGAAACACAGAGAGCATCTGGGACTTCACTAGAAGTGAAATCCCATAATCAGTGGGTCATGTCTGAATGCTGTGCTCACCTAACTTAAAAGTGAACAAAACTAGCAGAGAAGAAATGTATCATAGGCTATCAAAACATGTTAGTAAGAGTGAAGAACATGAGAGAGAGAGAGAGAGAGAGAGAGAGGGAGGGAGAGGTATTTTTCAAAATCATTACTTCTCTTATTGTTTCCTCATTTGTGGTCATTTACACTGTCTAGTTCTCATCTCTGGGAGGTGCTGTTGGCTCATCCATCAGCACCATACCCTTTGTAGCATTCATCACTTCGGTTTCTAAGCAACAGCAAAGAATACAGTAAAGTGGGAAGTTGGTGATGCTGTGAAGTCATCAAGCTCAGAAGGACTGGCACAGCCTGTCACTGTGAGCACTGGACTTTTAAAGTAGTGAACAGCCTGAAACACTATGAGCACCAAACCCCCTCATATCCCCCAAAAGATTCAGACCTCACATGCCAGCTGAGGCACATCCATTTAAGGACATCTTCCTGACATGATAGCCCTGTACTCAGTTCCATCTTCCCTTTCCTGTTATGCCAGTTTCTTTTGGTTACGTTACTATTTCAATTGTCATTATTTGCTTTCCAGCCCTTGGTAATTAGTGCAGCTATTTGCCTTTATTTGAAGATGTCCCCTTCTCACCTTCCTACTCCCATCTGATCCTTCAATTAAATCACTTCGATGCATCTGTGTCATAACAACAGCCAGTCAATTAAGATTTTACTGCAAGATTGAGCAAAAAAAGCCCCAAGCTGGCCCGAGAGAAAGGGCCCTTCTCTATATTCTCTGTCCATAAGGAGACATACAGTTCCCCTGCATGGAAAAAAGGGGTAAGATTTAAATATCAGCCTCTATCTCTGACTATATCCTGGATACCTTCTTCAGACACCTGTGAAGAGAGGCATAGAAATTTGTGAACCTGCAACTGAGAATCCAAAATGAGAGGGGGAAAAAAACCTTGAATATTAGTTACCAAAGTCAGGAGATTGCATGGAGTGGTTTTGCTTCAGCTCTGAGGCTTGGGAAGAAAATGATTAGCAATATCAAGACCAGCTACTGTAACAGCAAAGGCAATATGAGTACCCCTAGAGTCTGTTTTTACATTTTTCCTTTCTTCAAGAATTTCCCAGCAGGGAAGCCCTTCTTTAACTCCACTACTTAAAATTCGTATCTTTCAACATTCATCGTATACATATGCTTTTGTATACATACACTTCTGCTAAACTGCCTCAAGTTCTTTTTTGTGCCATAATTTCATTAAATGTGTGAAATGATTTTTCTGCCTTTGTCTTCATGATCTCTCTTTTTTAAGTACTGTACCAAAGACTATTCTTGTTTTCCTCTAGATTGCCTGCCACAATTTTGTGGCGGAACAATGGAAATCGTTATGAAATTCAACTGCCTGAAACCAGCGCGTATTAGAGATGCATTCCAAATACTGCTGAAAAAAATGATTAAATCCATTTCTGGAGAATGAAAAACATTTTTTAAGAAATAATTTTTGAAGAGGCATTTACAGCTCTGAAAGAGAAATAGTGGTATAGTTCAGTGTAGGTGGTCTTTCACCAATAAGTCAACAACTTTGCCAGGTTTAGGGGACGCCTGCAGGTCCAGTTAACCCTTCATTTGGGGCCATCCATTCTTACCTCGAGCACTGGAAGGGGCAGAGTTAATCATCTGGGACGGTGCCGAGTGAGTAGAGCTCAGGCTTGAGGTGGAAGGGCTAGCCTGGGACGAGGATAAAACAGAGACGTTGGTGACTGAGCCTTGGTACCTGGAGTTAGGGTAAACAAGCTGCAGGAGGCAGAGAAATCATCGAGAAAGAACTGAGCGGATCAGTGCATTAGATATTTACCTGTGTCAGATCACCTAGTGCAGCCTCTGTCTAGGAAATAGCTTCAGTGCAGGCCACTATAAATCTGCACTCAGGACTGTGGCGCTCATTTCACCCTCCCACAAACCAAGAGCAATACTAACTGCATATGTTGAAGAGGTCGTATAAATAACATGCCGACTAAAATCTCACTTTCTGAAAGCAACAGTATGATCTTGGACCGCAGTAGCAACTTTCACTGTACACAAGATTTCTTCCCAAAGTAAACCTAACTGAATGACTCTGTCATCTTTGTTGAACAATGTTAGATTCTACCTATTCAGTTCTTGGAGAAAAATATCACAGGACAGATCCAAGCATGTGCATAGGTAAAGTGTACTCCTCCAAAGCATAACCCTCCAGAGCATGTTCAGTGCTGTTTCTAACAACCGCTCCTGGCTGTGCTGGAGCTGTACCTGCATGTGGTACATATCCTCAGCAGTCTCCCCCACAGAACTGTCTGTTAGGATAACCAGGTTTCCTGTTTCGCTGGAGGTGTGGGACGACAGAGAGGATGACGAGTGTCGGACTGAACCAAGCAAGTTCAGTGGGCTGGAATAAAACCAGAGACAGAACAAGAGCATCATTATTTTTGAACCTGTGTTTTAATTTGTGAAGCCTGATTTTTTCCAAGCTAGTAAGTACCTGCAGTTACCTGCTGCTTTAGGTCACCTCTAGATGTCAAACACTTTTGAAAAATCAGGCTGAATAAGCTTAAACAAATCCATAACTGTGAGTAAATACGAAAGAAGTGACAATAAGGCTACATGTAAGGCAACATAGTATGTAGGACATAGAATTTCAGAATCCAAAGCCAGGTTAACATCATGTCATGACGCTGGGTGCATATTTGGTTTGTTTATAACAGAACATTCTGAAACCACTCTCATTTTTAATGCTGAAGTACGATGAGTGGGAGCAGCTTAAAAAAACATTCCAAAGGAAGCCAAGCATGAGACACACAGGTCAAAATACAGTTTTCCTTATTGCATCTGTTGGACCTCAGCATTACAGTTGAAGGCAACTTCGTAGTGGACAGTAGATTAATAGAGCCCAGCTGGCGTGCAGGCTGCACCCTGATCTCACTCATGAAATTAATTTTTTCTTTGTCACTCTGAATCACATACACAAACACATATTTTGTACACTATAGAATCTCCCTAGTTTGCTCAAAGAACTAAAAAAGGCTTTACAAAGTGAGGAATTTTGAGGAAGAAAATTTTATCACCCAGACACCAATTGTCAACTGCCAAGCCGCTAAAGTAGTATAAGAGCTACTCAATTTTAATAGTAAGAAGAACATCACCATCCTGGATTCACGTACTAAAGACCAAGTTTCCGCAGCTTTTCATGCCAGGCTTTAGCTATGTAGACCCACCAAGAGAAATAAACATGGAAGAACAATTAAAATGTCATAACTTCAGTGACATTCCTGTCACTGTTTTTCATACTGGCATGGATATGTACATTTTCAAATAAGCAATTTTGGCTGGATACAAAAACACTGTTTTGCCCTGAAAATCCCAGTTTTTATCCTCAATCGTTATCTCAGTTTTTATAGATGGGTATTCAGTTTGACTAAGCATCCACATTTTCAGATGTTTCTGTGAAAGCTGAGCCATTTTTTGGTATTCTGATCAAAACGCCTTGGCAGCCTTTCTTATATTTGGGTTCTGATTTGATCAGAATTATAAAAAACAATAATGTGAGCATTTTTTTGATCCTTAAAAATGGCTACATACTGAGTCGGGTTCAAAAACAAGCAATAAAATTTTCCTTTTATGGTAGATAAGGACCCATTTATTTGCTGTTTGCATAACAGGAGAAGTTGGAACCTCCGAAGTCAGATTGAATCTGGAGATCTGAGTGGCAGATGTGTGTTTCTGCCTCTACAGTAAGTAAAATAAGTGATGGAGTAACACCTGGAGGTGTTCAGCATTTGCTGCAAATTGGATTTCTCAACTTTTTGATTCTAATCCTCAATCAAACTTTAATAATTGGCACTGAATGAAGACGAAAGACACTTCTGCCAAAACTCATCCTGCTCCTCCTGCAGTACTGTTAACCACTTCTTAGATCCTTGAATCTTAACGCAACAGTGTGCAGAGATCCTAGATATTTCTGCAGAAAAAAACAGGGTACCTGTGTCGATGCACCAGCTTTATGCTCTCTGGGCTCATAGGTCCGTGCGAAACCAGAACATTGCTGCGTGGTGTACTAGTGCCAGAACAGGCTGGACTCAGCTTATCCAAACCAGGTAGCTCCTGCAAAGGAAACATACTTCAGCTAAGTTGGCCATGGAAAATCACAGGTTTTCTTCTAAGGAAAATCCTGATCTGTTTCCATGTTCTCTGCAGTTATCCTGCATTTCCACAGGATAAAGAGCTTCAGTGCTTTACAACCCTATTCTCTGTTTATTTCCAGTGACACTTTCTAGCCACTATTTCAGGAATTTGGGAGGAGAATAGAGGCATAGTGTGGCCCAAATTACAGCCACCGACACTCTTCAAAAAAAGAAATGTGGACTCAAAAATAGAGATCCTGTCCAAACTCTCAAGAAAGGTAGTGAACTCAAACTCGCAACTGCGACTGGTACAGGTCTCATCTGCTTTGAAAGAGAAAGGCCATATTTTAGAATTCTGGTGCTGTTATTTCTGGCCATCCTTGCATAGTGTTCACTCCTAAGAATGGAGGAAAAAGCCTTCAAGTTAGAAGGTACCTCAGAAAATACATACTCCAGTTGGAAAGTAAAGTGCCAACACACATATTTCAAATAATACTTTTACATTTTACATTTACATTACAAAGGAAAGATATCCTTTAGTTTGGTTGTGATAATGTTCAAGATAATGTCTAGGTATTCATAAAGATTTCACTATACCAGGAAGAGGAGAATGCGCTGCAAATTTCTGAGTCCCACCTGGCAAAGACGTCTCAAGTATAGTTGTCACAGAATACTAATGTACAGCAGAGCGCACATAGAAGAAAAGGTATCATTCCTAGAGGATGATATTTGTACTTCTGGTATGTAACAGGTGGTGTGAACCATGCTCTGGAGGCAGTTCTGTTGATCGTATAGCAACTAGAGACCCATAATAGTGTGTGTCCTGGTCACCAGAGTTGGATGCCTAAAGTAACTGGAGGAGGGCCTAATCCATGTCATGCTACTCCAAATTACGGCAGTTCTTTTGAAGAGCTCAACATCTAACACTTTTTGTTAATCCTTCTTCCTCTGTTTTAGATAATTTTCTGCTATGTAAGACAGTAACTGAAAATTAAGTTTTACAATTGATTGTTTTGTGATACAACAAAGAACATACAAATACTAAAAATTCTAGTTTAAATTAAAAGCTAAGTTAGCAGACTTACTGGGACTTCCTTCTTGCACAAAAACCAAGAATTCTTTTGATAATTTGGCAATCCAGTAGGTTCAATCAATGCTCTATCAGCTCAGTTCATTTGTGAATCTTAACTGCAACTGCTAGAAGTTTAATCATAACGCTGAATGATTCAAAATGGGGAAAATGACTGTCAGCTTACATGGTACAGACTGGATCGCATCATCTGGAACTGGTCTATCAGTTTCTTATGCAGGGGACGCATTTCTGGGTGCACAAATTTCTCATGGACTGCCAGACCCACTCCTAAGACATGTACCTGTTAAAAAGAAAACATTATATCACAAAACCAAATAAATCGTGTTTAAGAGATAGAAGCCCGTCCCACAGTTCTGTCAATGTGCAAGAAAGTACTGTACAACATGCCACTGTTCATTTACAAGACTGTTGATAATTAAGCAAGCCTAGGAACCCGGAAAGTTCATATTACTTCAACAAGTACTTTAAGTGTGAGACAAGTACATTTATGTCATGTTGGATTACTTCTGTTAAGAGATAACTGTAAAAAATTACCAGATTGATTCTCTCTCCAGAGTGAACAGCATTACGTCCTCACACAGATAATTCATTGTGACAAAGAAAATTCCTTCCACCCGGTGTCAGAGAAGGGGTCAAAGTTGCCAACAGAGATTTCTAAACGGAGTTTCTGATAATTGAGCTGAACAGTGGCAGCGTGGCATGCATAGTCACTCTTTCTGTTGCTCATTACTTATTTTTAAAGGTCACTTTTTCAAAGGTCACACATACAATATTAGTGATTAAATGAGATTATATAAGCTCTCAGATGACAGAAAATAGTAATGATAGCAGCCTTAAGATGTATATAATTCCCTACATGATCCAAAGTCTGTACAAACAATAACTAATTAATCTTCAAACATCCTCTTGAGGATTGAAGGGAGATAAGCATTATCTTTATTTTACAGACAGGAAATCTGAAATGCAGTTAAGTGATTTATTGAAGAAACAGGCCTAGTAGCTCTATTCAGACTTGGACACATTGTTTAATGGGGTATATCTTGCCAAACTTTCAGTTAAGAGGGATGCGGTTTTCTGATTTCACTCCCATCACAGCATCCAGCTAGGTTTATCTACCAAGATGTTTCATGGAGAAACTAAGGAAAAATAAAACTGCAGATAATATAAATAGGCATTAAGTTTTCCTATGTAGCTCTGCCGGTTTAATCTCAAACCTGACCTGGCCTCTCCTGACTCTGATTATCTCTGAAATTTACTGGGATGACATAATTCAAAATGCCAAAAATGAATGGCAGGCTTGAAACGTGGCAAGATGTCTATTGGATAATAAACGGAGACAACAAAATTAATGTACTTTTAGGTGAGCTTCACCTCACGTCCCATAAGGTGAATGGCTTGTGCATAAACTCCTTGGACATCTCCCCCCTCTTTTTTGTTTAAATGTACTTTAGATCTCCTGTACCAAAATTCTTTGCTTCTGAATGAATCAGTTGGATCTGATATGTTTAGACTGACTGCTGATGAATCCAGACACTGCAGCAATGTTCTTTTGCATTTGAAAAACAGTACCTGTTCCTGCATGAGTTCCTTGAGCTGTGTGATCTTCTCTGCGTCTCCAGGGTGCTTTGTGATATAATCTTTATCAAAAAAGGCCTGTAGGTGGGGGGAGAAAAAAAAAAAAGCCTTCTGCTTACTGGAAGATTTTTCATCGTAACTTGGTGTCAAAGGATGAGAGGAAAAGGTCCAAAAATCTTAGGAAAACTAAATATATTAAGCTAACAGCAGCAGCTCAATTTTACTGCTTTTAGCACTCTGGGATCCAGGTAAAGCTACAGTACAGTTTTAGCAACCTTGATGATTCAGTTGAATCTGACCAAGTTTCCCCATGTGATAGTGATGAGCGATACCACTAAGCCTTGTATCATCCAGTTATTTGAACTTTATATAGTTTCCTTCATATAACTGCTTAAATTTAAAGGAATTAAGTGAGTGAAGTGGTAACTAATGTAAAGCATGAAGAGTGTTCTCTTCACAGCTCTGTAGGGAAGACATGTCCCACACGCCTGGACCGCTGCTGCCATTTTTCAGTATTTCACCCTAGACTTACCTTTTGCAGTGCAGAGTTTAAGCAACAGCTTGCCAAAGATTATGCTAGATGACATACTGCATATATGATCATTTTAGGGTTACAGTGAGTCTGAAATTAGGCTAGCAAAGATAATGGTTGAGTAGTGTGAATTAGTGGCTTTTCCTGATTACAGGTCCAATCAGTCTCAATTACTATGAATCCCACTGCTTCTATTGCAAAATGGATTTATAATGTAAACAGTATAAAACCAATCTGCTTCACTCTTTTACCTGCCGAGTCAGGATTTCCAGGTAAGCCAAGTTTCATTCTTGAGAAACCCCACTGTCAACCGTACCTAATTCAATGCAATATCCCAACTCCACCTTTGGATGCTCGTGTTGACGTGTGGCTATGCAAGCACTGATGCAGAATAACCAAGTAGGGGTTTTAACTTCATGTTTAGATAATGTGCATGAAAGTGTTTTATCTTATTAAGTCATACTCTCTTTGAAACAGAAATGGAAATAAAATTGAAAAAAGACGATACTAAATTCAGAAGCAGAGCCTGGCTTACCTCCTGGTATCGTGCAATTCCCCCATTAACAGCTGCATCAATCACTCCATTCAGACACATGCTGAGAAGATTGATGTTACCATGCATTTGTTTATGCTGGTACTGGCTTATCAGTGTTCTCAGCTCCTGGTTTTTGTTCTCAACCACTTGAATGGCATTTTCCAAAGGACTTACTTCCACCTCAAAGGCAATAAAATATACTTTAATTCCATGGACACGTCACTGAGATTTATTATCTTCCTTGTAATGAAATGATACTTTAGGATTGTTCAGTGATCTCTTAGTTTTTACTGCTTTGTAGAAAATTAGCTACATTAACAAACTTTACTGTTAGCAATGCTATATTTCAGGTAACTGAGTTGCGATAACTTCTTTCTGTATACTGAAGACATTGGCAACAATGCAATTATTCCATCTTTTTGGCACTGTCTCCATTATACTGTCATGTTCCCTCACATAATTCCCCTGGTTGTAGTCAGCAATTATTTAGACTAAGTGGTGGAAAAAGGACATACTTAATCACTGGTGAACTTCATCATTTTAAACTGCAAGATTTCAGCCAAAGGAGTTTTAAGTTGCCTATCCCATGTCCTCAGTAACTCATAATTTCAAACCCCAATTACAGGAACTATGTATGTTACCAGTTCTCTTCTCTCCACTTCAAACCAACGAGAGATCCCAGGCAAACTGTGAGTCAAGGTCAGAGTGGTACGTTCAATCCACAAGCTCTGCAAAGAGTAATTGAGGATGGGAGGTACACAGTGAATCACAATCACATCATCTGTACTCTTACTACAGGTGCTAAGGGGGTAAAGTTCAGAAAAGAATATATTAACCTCCTGAGCATTAACTTACTTTGCAGAATGTCATGCTGAAAGTCACTTGAACAACAAAACCAGAATTCAGTATGTTCTAAAGCAACACATTCAACATTTCTATTAATTTTTAAAGGTTGACCACCAATTCTGTCATGGGAACCAAGAAGACATTGTGGACGTATATGGCAGTAAGAAAAAAAATTCCAACCAAACAAAAAAACCCATCCTTGCTTCAAAATGCATCTCTCCCGGCACTAAAATAACTCACCTTTAAACTGAACAGTGCTTTAATCAGGTCAGGTGTGTAACCACCGGACTCAACAGCTACTTGTTATTTGAGTTACTACAGTACCTTTGGCCATCAAATCAGGATTACTTGAAAGGCTATATCAGCATAAAATAATAAGACAGTATTTGCCTTGAAAAGATTAACAACTTAAACACTGCTTATTTGCTACTTCTACCTTAAATTCATTCTCCTTGTCCTTTGGGCCTTTGTGAAAAGGCCTGTCATAGCGGAATTTCCGGATGTTGTTGACTCGGTAAAAGCTCTTTATGCGATCAGGGACACGGTCCATTTGCAGCACATCTATATTGTCTGGGATGGGAGTCACTGCATAGATCTGTAAATCTGCAAATTATGTAGTCAAAGAAAGCCACGGGACATCAAACAGGAAAGCTGTCTCTACTGTGGAAATAAACAGGATGGTGAATTCAGAAAGTCACGCTCCTCTTTGTTTTCCAACACTCTTCTTTTGCAAGTGGAACAGCAGAACACTAGACTAGAACTACTAGGAGAGTCTACAGAGTTACAGTACCTCACAGCCAGATTAACCAGAGGAAGATGCCTGAGGATGCAGAGAGTATGTAGTAAGACATCCAAAATATCTACAGCAGGTAAAATATCCAGTTCCTATTGGTTTTAATTAGAGCTAGATGCCTCATTTGTGCAGGCACTTTAGTAGATCTTGATGTATTTAGGTACCTAAGTATCTAATATTTACCTTTGATAAATTTCGCCTTAGATACTTCAGCTTTGTCTACAAACCAAAGTTGTCCTAATTACAGCAATTTACAGTCCAGTTTAATTAAACTGGTTTAACCTCAGTGTTAGACAAGATCTCTGCAAGCATAAACAAACCAACCTAAATACACATACAAGCAACCCCTCTTGTCTATGAAAGTATCAGTGTTATATAGCAAAGAAGAGTGAAAAGCATGTGTTATGAAATACAAGTGGGAAGCATCAACCAATTTCAGGAGATTTCACTTGCTGACAATGTCCTTACGGTTAAAGTCCTGCACAATATCCTTGCTGTTGTCACACAAGCCGAACAGTGGTGTTCTCATGACTAAAATCTCCAAAAGTCTCTGCAGACCCATTAAACGTTAGGTGGTTCAGTCCTTAAATGTACATAGCATTGTATTGGTCGCATCAAATCACAGTACAGATTACCAATGAGAAGAATGAGATTCAAAGCCTTAGGTATGAGAGAGTCCAGCAGTTTAAAAGAAAGGGAGACGGGGGGGGGGGGGGGAAAGATGAAAAATAAACACAATGGAAAATAACACTTTGGAATTAATATCTGTTCCCAACAAAATGTTCTCCAAGAGAAGGTATCAGGAATACTTTTAATGACACAAAACGTGCATTATGGCAATGCTGTTGGTAAAGGTTAAAACATGGATGTGACCAAACAGATGTGACCAAGCACAGCTATTTCCCTTACACATCGAGTATGACCTGCATTACTCCCTGAATAAAAAGTGACAGTTCTCTCCAGCAATACCATAGTGCAGTGAACCCGTTAATGTCTACTGTAGGCAGATGTATGGTTTTGTCCATACCCAGCTCTACCTAAGAAAGACACTTAGGAACTGAGGTATCCAAGTTGATGACCTTTTCAATACCTTCCTCCTCTGTGCTCTACCACAGTTGCTCTAATCATAGTTTGCCCTTTCACTGAAGGATACACTGGGCGTCACACTGCAATATAGAGTCATCTGGGTGGTTTGGATGCTGCATTGCAATCGCTTGTGGGAACTCACTCAGCATCCTCTGCTGGAAGGCTTCCAGCCTCTCATAGTCATGGCCCCGACATACATATTCTTTGTTCTGCAAGAAGGACAAGCATAAATTAATCTCCTCAAAAGTAAGTGAAATGCTATGGGCTTTTATCTCACTTTAAATTTTACTGCCTCAAAAACAAAGATAAATGACAAAGTCAATATGCTAATGTGAGAGTAAAACGTGCATTTAACACAGCTGATATATTTTGTTCCTTCCTTTTTCTGTACAATGTATTTCATGAAGAAGTGATGAATAAGTAGACTATTCCACTGATCTCTCAACAGAAAGATGCCTCTGATCTGTACATACGTAGCATTCAGTCCTATTGTCTTTTCTTATTTGCTTTTCAGGCAGCTGAAAAGGTGCTATTTTTTAATTGGACTATACTGAAATATACCAACCAAAACATAAGACTAAGTCACCAGCTCGGCTGTTCTACACCAGGAAAGCTGCTGTCAAATACAGTTTACACCAGATGGATAAAGTCCCGAGGATTTCATAGAACAGAGGAAGATATATGTTTATCAATTTATCAGTTATCCTTAAAGAGAAGTTGTAACAAACTGTTCACAAAAATAATTGTTTAATCATTGCTGTATTGTCATAGCCATACAATCCACCTCTGATCACGCTGAACTATACAACCTCAGGAACTCCCCTGTCTATAGTGGAGTAATCTGGAGAAGCCTTACCAAGAACTCTCAGTGGCCCCTTAGCAAATTCCCCTTCAGCCCTAAAAGCACTTTCCTCTTGACAAACAAAATGTCGTTTCTGCTAGGAATGGAAAGCTTGCATTTAGCTATGCCTCTTGAGGCATTAAACCACTTGTGCAGAGTTCTTGGATGCTTTTTTGAGCCATCTCAAACTTTGAACAGCAAGATACAGGGTTTCTGAAGTCCTCAGTGTCATAAAGATTGTATTCCAGTGTCTTAACCTTATTACTACAAAACACAATTTTGATTGGTGATAATGTCTTCTGATGCAAGACCAATCAAAGCAGACAAATACGCTAATTCTGGTAGTTTTAACTCTCATACATATAACGATAACTAGAAGTACAGGGAGATTTTTCACCTTCATAAAACAAAGAAAGAATCCCAGCAACAAGAACAGTTCCCCCCCTTCTACTTCTTGCATTTAGAAGCTGCAGTATATGCAACTATATTTTGTTAATTGCTCTGGAAAAGGGTTCTGGCCAAACAGTTCTTGATCTTGTAGCAAAAATCAAAGAGAAAGCAGCAAAACCCTATCATAAAACACGGCCAAGGAGTGCAGTTATCTTTGGCTTTGCATTTCAACTTTATGGAACAGATCTGATGTTCCAGCTGTGACATATGTCACTTTGTATGCATCAGTCACAGCAACCAATGATCTGGGAGAAAAATTGCATGATGAATCTTGACAGTTCAGTCTGTAATGCCCAAACTTTGCAGGTATTATTAAATTTGGAGTGAGACATGTTTGAAGGTCAATCTCTTCATGACACTTACTGCATTCTCTATTTTAGCTTTGATTGCAGTAATCCAGAAAACTGTAAGCCTATAAATAAAGTTATTGTGATTCTAAAAATAATGCCCTGAAAACACCTCAAAGCTAAATTTCATAGACTTTTCAGACAGATGCCAACACAAGATCTCAGAACGTGGCTTGTCAGGCCTTACTTGAACTTCTGGTAGGTGGAAGCCGTGGACAGTTTTAATTTACTTATGTAGGAAGGCTAGAAATAGATGCAGCATTCATAGAAACATGAACAATGACTTTTCTAGACAAAGGGTCTTCAAAGATGTATAAAGAAGTGTTTATTTTCTGTCTTAAGCTATACAGCAATAGAGAAATAAATGAGAAAAAGGCATGGAGTTATGTGACCACTTTAAATCACTCCCATATCCATTTGAAAATTTTAAATCCATGTAAATCTTTTTCTTCTCTAGAATAGCTGCTTCCAATCTCTTTACAGTGTGATCCACGCTGATGTGATTGCTAATGGGCTTACAGTCTGTGCTTCGCAATGTGTATGCTGTATGGATCATTAGAGAGAGAAAGGAGGAGGATGACTTTTAATGAGATTGCTACATTAGTAATCTGCTATCAGAAGTACTGCTACCAAATATAATTGCAGAATTAACAAGGATTATAATTATGTACACTCATGTTCGCTGTTAATGTCTCCAGCCAAGTATCCATATTGTTACACTGTTTTGCAAAGAATAAGTGCTGTGCTCTGAAAACTCGTGCAGTGTTAAACACATAGGCCATGCAGGATCCAAGATAAAACTGTAGGATCCATGATATAGTAACATAAGCTAGATTCACTGATACTGCTTCAAATGTAGGAATGCTTATGTGCCATAATGACTTTGTTGTCATTCATTTTCTGAAACATCTGTTGTTAGATATAAAAAAAGAAATTGTCAGTTTTCTCTGGAGATCTTCACGAAAGGGTATCTACTGCTTCATACTACATTGCCTCAGATTCCTCTGCAGGTGTGTTCTACACACTGATTCAGGCTGCTACATTATGCCACTGTTCAACTTCACCTTTGAATAACATGAAGCCACCCATTATCCACTGGTATTTTCACCTTGATTAATTCCAACTTGCCTTTACTTCCCCGCCCGTGTTTCCGTTAAAAGACTAATTAAACACTAATGTTTAAATCCTAGTTAAAAAAAACAACTTAGTAATCAGAGGGAAATTTAAGAATGCAATTTTCAAAATGGTACACGGTTTGGCTTTTTGTAGCTTCTTACTGTATAACTCAAGAGCGGTGCCATCTCTTGTCAAACCATTTCTTTAAAGACAACACAAAACATGCACCTCCAGTCCTTGAAAGCACGCTTCAAGTTAGCTTGTCCTGTCAAGCTAGATGGCATCTACCATCAATTTTCAGACAGCTCTTACAGCAGTTGTCAGATTATATTCCTTCTTCGCTCTGAACTAGCAACAAAACATCGTATGAACAAACGTCCATTTTAAGTTTGACTCCTCATTAGGAAAAGAAGTTCACTTTTTAAATGGATTGCAGACCCAGCTGATCCTGTATACACCAGCAGACAATAAACTCAAAGTGAGTCCTCACTTTTTGTGGAAGAGAGAGGAAATTTTTGCTTGTAGATAGCATAAGAGTCATCAGTCTGGTATTAGAATCATTCTGTCATGTGAGACTTTTTAAAGCATGATAATTTGAGATGATGAAAATTAGTTGAGTAATGACCCAACATTGCTGCAATACAGCATTCTGCTTAATATAGAGGCAATTTGTGCTGCATCTGCAGATTGTCAAAAATACACATAGGCATGAGTCAAATTTCTGATCTCTGTTCCTAAGAACGTTACCAATGGACTACATCCTTCAGTTCAGCCAGAAAGCTGTTTCTGGTTGGGCAGGCGTAAAAAAATAAGGTGAATGGCAGACATCATATCTCCGCAACAAATGCAAAGCCTTAACTGCTACTCTGAGCCTGGTCACTTTGTCATATTTTGTATAAGTCTGGCTTACCCGCAGGAAAAATGGGAATTTCCGACCATAAAAACCAACTCTGAAAAACTCAGGTTCTAAGCGCTGCTGTTCCATGATATTATCATAATAGGTAGCTTCCATTTTCTGTGGAGGAAAAAGATAGCTGCTATCAGACCCTTAAAGCTGCACTTAAAACATTAAAATCTCAACACACGTTAAAATATCACATTACTCTCTTGCCCCCACAATTTTTTATGAAAAGTCCAAAATTCTTTTAAAGATAAAAATTATTAACTAAACAGTCTACATGGTGGAACAGACTATAGTATCATCATACTCATTTTACATTTTTGGAGATGACATATGAAAATTTTTCTATTGTTTCTCATTTGAAATGAAACAGATCTTGCACGTAATTTTATTTCCATTGCAGAATTAATGGCAAAGCTGAGATTAAGATCTATGTTGCCTGGCTCACAGTGTCCTATTCTCTCCTACAGCTCAAAATCTATACCACTGTCTGAAAATGATATCAATTCAATTGGGTTTGCTTTAAGTGAGTTGAAGGGCATGGAAAAGGATGAAGCAAAATTAAATCTTCTACAGCTCTGTGCACCAGTAGGTTTAACATGGAAGAAAAACGGGGTTTGGAGAAAGTAAAAGGACTTTTCTCTAGTTCCAATTATTAGTTCTGTGGCACTGTGCTAGCATTTATATCAAGAGTGGGATTTCGAGACCCCTTGCCAAACTGAATCTCAGTTGAAAGGCTCACAGGAATTTCACTATAGCAAAAAGATAGCTTTTTAAAGAGGAGAATCCACTGCAGGGAACCCTAACAGCAGCTTTGACTTAGAATATTGCATCAAGGTTTTGTTCTCGGTTCCCACACATATTAACTCCTTTTCTAAAATGGAGAAGGTCCCGAAGTCATTGCAGGAAGAATAAAGGAATGTGTTGAATGATGTGAACGGCATAGAGAAAAACTCTTTGGGAGAAATTCAAGTCAATTCAGGTCAACACAGATTTAGGAAACTTGAACAGAAAACAGATCACACACAGGTGAGCAAAAGGATGAGGTGAATTGGTTATACTGATCAGCTGAGATGGTCTTCACCTGCCAGCTGATTAAATCCTAATAATAAAGAGGCTGCAAGAATAGCTAATTTACTGATGTTTTAGGAGAGAAAGTCTTGATGCATGACTTGACTAAGCCTTTAGTAAGTTTGTTTGCTCATCATTCATGATCACTTTACTGATAGGGTATTCCCTGTACACCAGGATAAATTTTCACACTGCTCTATTAGGTATCTACAATAAGCAAGTGCACAACCAAGATGGTCACTCGTACTCTCTTTAGGGCCACTTTGAAGAAGACAGGTTCTTCAGAAGTGCAGAGTTCATGAGACATAGTTAGACAGATACCTTCAGATGAAAACAAATTTGATTTTTGAAGGTAATTTAAACCACTGTGTATAAGAATACTTTCACATAACATAAATCTTATATCTGGATATATGCATGCTACCCCAGGGGACAAAAGCAGATGAACTATTTTCACATTCATAAAGCTTTTAAACAAAAACCAGAACTTTGACTTTTTCTGATTAAAGCACGATGCTGCAAATGTGCCCTGATTTTATCACGTTTGGTTTTACCGGAGGACCAGATTCTTGTAAATCAACAAGAATGCCATAAACGTTTGCCTTCTCCATTCTTTCTCTCTTGCTCTTCTTATGTCAACTGAGGCACAAGCTGTCCTCAGTATTTTTGGAATTAAAATGAAATATCAATATATAATTAAAAAAAAAAAGAAAGATACTTTATGCAAAAATATATATAAATATGCAATAGCAAGCCCAGCTCCTGTGTGTGTGCTGTCTCCATATACTCATGGGATTTTACTGCTCGCAGACTTAGGAATTACTTCAGTGGACCTACAAAGTCATCGAAATGAATCAATGGCAAAGGAGTCACTGTAAATGCATGGAGCTGTATAGGGAATATGATTATTTTTTAAATTCGAATGTTCTGACGGGAGAGCAAAACTCCTGCGGAATGACATGAGAGTCTGCAAGGAGAGGAACTGCTGCTACTTACCCGAATCCAGCTGAGGCTCTGATAATCATAGAGACTTTCGTACTGTATGGCCAGTTCTCTGCACAGCGGGATTCCAAACTCCCAGCTCTGTGAAACCAAAGCAGAATCACACTCACAGCAAACAGGATGTTATTGCCAAGTCAGCTGAGAGGAATACGGAAACGCAATTTTGGGAATTAATTTGGTATGAAGTGCCAGGGATTAGATGTGAAAATGCAATACGATGAAACAGTTTCCATTAAATATCAGATTAATTCCTTCTTCAAGATGGTAACGGAGGCAGCATATGTTCCTTTGAAATTACACACACTTACTGCTTGTTACTGACAGTTCACTCATGAGATGGAACTTACTTGGAGAAAGGTAATACAACTAACAATGTTGTTCTTGTTAGACACCCCTTCAACCCACAACTAACAATGTTTCTTCTTGTCAGACACCCCTTCAACCCACCCCCAATATCTCCTTTGCTTTCTGCACTAAAACTCCCTGGAGTAAACAGTTAGAGCTCAGCTCCCCAGCAAAGCGCTCCCCTTGCCAGGGCTGCTACTTCCTACTGAAAGCACAAAACTGTCAGGCAATGGGAAACACTCAAATACAGAGACAAAACATCTTCAGAACTGACCTGCATTATTGCACTGAGTGAATATCCATATTCAGAACTGAAAGCAAAACTCATTTCTTCAACTTACAGTCTGCATACAATACATCTTTTCTAGCACACCATGCTCATCGCCCTCAGAGGTAAGGAAGAAAGAGACTGAGTTTGGGCATGCCCACGTTGAGAGAAAGACTCCCGTTACCTCACTTAGCTTTTTAGAGTGCTCATTTTACATCCTTGAAACAAAATCTCCTCTCCCATCATCTTTTACCTGCACAGATTGGAAGCCTTTTGGGGGGAATGACTGTTTCTTACCATACTTATGTAAAGGATCTAGAACACCAGGGTCTCAGTTGAACCTTTATTGGATTAACTTTTATGCATTACTGGGCTAACTTGCCAGTTGTTTTAACTGGGACCCTGTTGTAGTGAAAACAAAATTAATGTGCGAGTTAGACTATCACCTTAAGTTTTAAGAATATTAATAGCAATATTGTAAATTATTGGTAACGATAATTAACAATAATTATGTGAAATATTGGCACTTAATATGGAAATAGTTTTTCTGGTTACATGTACCTTCACTTAAAAAAGTGAATCTCTACACTGTTTGATTTAGTGTATTGGGTACTTCTATGCACACACATTTGTAGTGTCTGTTCTCTCATCCTTAATACCAGCAAAGCTTTTTTCCTCTGAATAGCAAAACCAGTAAGCGTAAGAACTTTTTTATTCAAAGAAGGAATAGTTGTAAGAACTAAAAAGGCAAAAATAATGATCCTACATCTCTTTAGCTTCAGTTAATTACAAAAACTTACTAAGAACTTCTAAATAAAAGATTATTTCAGAATCAATTTGGATATTCTGATAGTATTAGTAGTTTGGCATGACAGGAAGTCTGAGAACTATTTAGATAAATACAATACATACAATAGGAAATGAACTGAAAGACTTGACTACTCAGAATATTACTCAGGTTTTTGTGATCTCAAATTAACAGGATTTTTGCTGTGGGTTGTCAAAGTCCATGACATGCAAACTGATACACTGAATTGGGATCAACACCACTAACCAGTTAAGTGTTTATATTTGCAAACATCAACACCATTGCATTTTTTTTATAGGTTTCAACATTCTTTACAGAGAGATTATACACAGATTTTCAGTCCTTAGCTGATCTATATTTACTTGAAAGAATGGAAAAGTCTCTTCTAAAACATCTGGCCAGTAATAAATGGCTTTTGTCACACAGAGTGTGAGCAGAGTCTCACTTCCAAACGGGATGCTGTGGCTAAAGCCTACGTAATTCTCTAATCTGTCTTCCAGATAGAAGCAGAAAGCCAGCTGGCTGTCTTCCCTTGAGGTGATCCTAAAGATGTAACCTTTTCATGCTCCTTTTCTGATGTGAATTAAATTAACATGTAACCACATCTTATTTCTCTTTATACCAGCTCTTCTACATGTACCCTGATACTATTCCTGTCATCCTAACTCAGACTTTCTCTCTTTGTTTCAGTTAGATTTCCACACAGAGAAATTCTACTGTGCTAGCTGAATATTCTGTAGATACAAGATGAGATAGAGAAGCAAAGAAACACAATATACAGGTAACTTCTTAGAGAGAAAAGAGAGTTTGCGGATATTTGAAAGGAAAAGAGAATGAATGGATATCTGAGACACTGGGATCTTCAGTTTTAAAACCTGTGATGTTAATGAGTATCATCTTCACAGTGTAGAAATTTAATATGTAATTGCATGTGCTATGCAAGTGTCACTTCCCTCTAAAGCATCATTATTCCCCCCTTCAAATAATTTCCTAATGTCTCCACTGTTAGTTCTCTCATTACTGCTTTCTGTTTTGCTGACGTCTGATCTGTTTGCACGTTCTATATTATGTCCTTCACTTGAAAAGCACATTCATATGACATTTATTGCAGCTTTCTCCTATGGCACCAGCAACTCTCAGTTGAGCACTACTGACTGCACACAAGGAGGCACAGATAGAGACAATCAACATTTATGAATGGCAACCTTTATTTACTCACATCCCAATATGCAGATTTCTTTTGGAAATATGATTCACGTGAGGGTGCACAAGAGAAATTAGTTCAAATGTTGGGTATGGAGCACATGATCTAAAAAATGAACTGCTTTGGAAATACAGCTTTGGGTCTCTCACAGCATTTGGCTGGCACTAAGGAGAATACGTGCTGCAGTGCTGTGATGGGAGCTGGTCAGAATTTTTAGTTAATAAAATCTAGCAGTGAACTGGACAGAAAAGGGTTGTGTAGTTTTCAACCTATTGCTGTCCAGAAGCATGATCAGTCGGGTTCAAACTGTTCTATTCACAGTCGTCTTCAACTAGAAAACCTTGAGTTTTAACAGAAAAAATTGTAACTGTGAGTTTAAAAAAAAAAAATAATCTTCATTTAAAGTTATGTACTTGCACACACTGCCGACTGAGCCATAAACCAATTCAAAGCACAGCAGAAATCAGTAGGAAGGAGCACACAACCAGAGTGAAGGCTAAAAGGGCTTTGGAACGCCTTGTTCCTTCCCAGCACAGGGCTGCTACTGACCGTATTGAGAATGGGAGTTACTCAATTCTGCACCCCACTGCAGCGCTCCAGGCCTGCCACGGGCCGTGCCACCACTCCTTGCCCTCCCACTGGCATGCCCTTTACGGCAAACTCACAGGACAGTCTTGTGGCCATAGTTTTCCCCCATTCCTGTGCTGAAAAAATTTTCCCATTAACAAATGCCGAATTTTTACACCCTTTTCATGCTGCTTTGACCCCCTTACTTAGTGGAAGATGCCAGGAGCAGCATGAAAAACTTAACTCTAGAAATGCAACTGAAGGACACAGAACAACAAACTCCACTCTTCAGGACCTGAGGAGGGGGCCATCTTAGGGCAGAAAGAAACTATCAGGCGCAAGTTGAGGGAAGCAAGTTTCTTCCATTCCCTGAGCTGTTCCCTGTTACACAGCAACAGAAAGAGTGCTGAAAAGCAGCAGGAGGATTTGGCTTCTCAGCATCTTTCACTTCCACAGTTTGAGTGACATACACACTGCTTAAGTGGATTATTTAGTCATTCAGCTACCATTTATAATAAAGAGGATTAAAACACAAAGTCAAGTAACTCCAAAAACATCCAGTGGGGAAAAAACCTCAAGAGGTTAATACTCTATAATCTGTTAGGAGCTTTATAGCAAAATTACATCCGTCAAGTTTTTACTCCCCTTCAGTGCATATACGGATTGCCCGTTTTTGTCAAAAATACAGGCTCACTTGTTTTACATAGTTTCTGTGTCATTTTTGTCTAGTCAGACAGTACAGTATTCAATATTTGCACAAGTCAGTAACATTTTTTTTAAGTGCAGTCTGAAAAACCTGGAAAATTTCTGAAACTAAAAAGAGAACCATATGCAGTATTATTACAAAAGAACAATTCTGGCAAAAAAAAAATTCTTCTTAATTAATCTCTTCCTCATAAATAGGCTGTTTCTTCCTACACACAGGAATCTGACTTCCTTTTGCAGGTTCTGTAGTGAATGTCTCTGCCATATGCAACTTTCTGTTATCAGGGCCAGGAAAGAATTATCTGGAATGGCAACCTCATATGAACCAAATCACATTTCTATTTAATGCCACTGTCATTGCCATCACAGGCAAAAACAACCCTGAGGCACACATACAGACGTTATCTTCCAATAATATAAGCGGTAGGAATTTTTCTAGAGAAGGGAAAAATTTGAATATATTCTGACAGATGGTATCACTTTTAAGGTTCACCTCTGAAATGTTCCCAAAATGCCATGACACAAGGGAGTATAACACCTACATCTGCAGTAATTTAAAAAAAAAATATTTATTGTAGGAAAAACATACCGAATATGTGAAATTGAAATGTATTGATTTTCTTCTTGTGCAATGGATGGAACTGCACTTTAATTGAAAGCCACTTTAAAATAACAGTGACACTGAAAAGACTTAAATCTTTTTTAATAAAGGGACTCCTACAGTGCATTGCCTGCCATTTACTTCTATAGGTTAGAAACAAAACAAGTCCTAAAGTGAGTCATAATACAGCAATTTGCATAGACAACTACAAAATGCAACCCCGCCCCCCAAAGCTAAGGAACTGGCATTCATAGAGCTTTCTGCCATATCAGGTCATCCAAAGTTTGGTTTAAAGGTATAAAAATGTTTTGGTGTTTTTTCCTGTTGGCCTACCTAAACTAGTTCCAAATGTTACGCGTAAGGAAATACCCATATCCATTTTCTCATCTGTTTTTTCGTCCAGAGAGTCAAGAAGCAATTTGTCAAGTTATAAAACCTTTTGACAGAAATTTACTTCCAGACTACTGAACTGAGATGACAGGCTTGCAAGCCCTAAGTAAGTCAGGAAAAGGGAAGGAAGCTGCTGGAAGAGAGAAGAAGTTGGCATACCTTCCCTTTGTTGAAGTAATGGATAATCTTACGGCACAGACCTTCCTTACGTTGCCACTCTGACTGAGATGGATAATGCAGGAACTCTCTCAGAGGTCTGTCCTCCCACTGAAGCAACTCACAGTACAAAAGCAAAGTAAATGCAGCCTCTGTTGGAAACGCAATTATTGAACACTGAATCAATGACGACAAATAAATACAGCCAATAGGTTGAAAGGTCACTAGATCTGCTTCTTAAACAGTCTGGAATTTCTGATTTACAATTTGAGACAAAATTCTCAAGTCTTGGATGATCATTAAATTATTCGATTACTTAAAATAGCAGCACAAAGCTGTTTTCTCTGAACCTGATTTTTAGGTACAAATCTGTCAAGTTTCTTTTTACAAGCTACTTGATTTAAACGCACAGTCAGATATTCAGGTATGTAACTAGATTTGGGGCCTGCAGCTGTAAACAGAGCTTGGACAACACAGAATTAGAGTCTATACGCTTTCTAAGTGCTCCCTAAATACTACAATGCCAGGAAATACGGCAAATGATAATATAACGGTGGTTTTGTGATTTTAATCTTCCTCTAAATTTGATGCCACTGTTGTGATTTTTTTGATCAATCTTCCTCGTAGAACACTTTAATGTAAAATCGGGAGTGTAATGGGATAGTCGTATGGTTGTGTGGGCATGGGCATAGACATACATTATTTGCCTCGAGGCAATGAGCTGGACCTCAGCTTCTTATCTTCCCAACTGCCATAACTGTTTCATACAAATTTTTTCCAAAAGAATGAATCAGATGTTAGAGTATAACATTGGGAGACTCAAAAACTTTCACCAGGATTTCAAGCAGACCCCATATGATGTCTTACTAACCTGTGTAGTTCTCAGCCTGTAAGTGCATGTCACACAGCTTGTGGATATAGCGGATGTACATCTCTTCCTTGTTAATTTCGGATTTATAGAAATTCTGTGAAAGAAAAGAGAGAGTCGTTATTGAGACTTCCTTCATTCAAGACAATCAGCAGCATCTGTGTATGTATAAAGGTACTGAAAAGAGAGTACATTATTAGTGTAAAAGAAAAGTAGTAATTCTTTTCGCATTCACACTGATATAACCCACTAATTTTATTGTGTCACGATTCTTTGTCAAAATGAAGGTAGTCAAAAGCTGAAAGAAAAGGCGAGAGAGGTTGTAGAACCTCTGTCACAGGGATACTCAGAACTCAGCTGGACAAGGCCCTGAGGAACCTGACCTATTTGGCCCTGCTTTAAGCAGAGTCAGACCAGAGACCTCCAGGGGATCCTCAACAATCGCTGTCGTTCTGCTCTGTCATGCCAGTGCTCCGACTCTGAAGCTACACTTGCCTGACACAGATTCCTATCCCAACCTTTCCCATCCCAGTTTCAACAACATTGCACAGTATCACAAAGAGATAAAGGAAACATCTTTACCATAAGGTTAACAGTGCAGCCAATTTTCTTGTTTTCTGTTTCATCTCCTTTCATACAGTCCCTAAGAAAGCAGAGCAATGTTGAAACATATATCTGCAAAAACAGTCCTTTTAAAATAAATTTGAAGGTATCTTATCCTCCAGAGTTTCCTTGGATCACAAACAGCAGTTAATTATATACTTTATTTTATAAAGTTCCTCTCAGAAAAATTTCCTTATTATGGCTTAAACGGTGGGAGAACTGAGTGCCCTCTTACATGTCTGCATCTGAGAACAAGCACCTGAAATGACTGCTACTTCATTTCTTACAAGAATCTGAACAAAAATCAGATAATAGTGGCCAAAAATCATCTGAACAAAAGATCTCCTATAAAAGTGAAAAACTATTATTTATCCAGATGTAAACGTTTACTGGTTTCCTAGCCAAAGGATTAGCTTTCATAAATTCAGCTATACAATGTAGTGTGGGCACACTGAAAGATACAACCCACGTAATTTAGACTAGATTTCTAACTTTTTTCATAGGTAAGTCATAAAATTTATCTTTAGTTTCTGGAATATTTTAGAAATTATTTCTATTCAAGCAGTACAAAAAGTTTAAGGCTTCAGAAATTACTAATCTTGACTTGAGAAAGTCACATTCATTTGTGAAAGAGAGACAAAAGTTTTAAAGCAGTGACACAGCAAACTGTCTTGACAACTACTGTGTCAACTAACTGGCAGCTGGACTCCAAGAGATGCCTGTGTATTTCCAAATTCCGATGCAGTTCCCTGTTCTGTTCTGGGAATGAAAAAAATCTGCTGTGTATTAAAAATCAATTAAAACCTGGTATCTGTTCCTCAATTAAATATTTATCTGTGTATCAAAGTTGCGTTGATAGCAAATTTCATTTAAAAAAGAATCATCTCCCTTGCATTCCCTTTGAATGTGTCTCAGATACCTGGTCTTGCATAGTAGTTGTACAGCAGCTGCTGTCAGGAAACAAACAGGAGATTGGATCAAACTGGTAAAGATAACAAAAAGAGCAAAGAACAAAGCACAGAAAAAGATTTGGGATTGCAGAATACCCAGCCTAGTCACAGGTTTTCACCTATAATGAGCAGCAGCAGCAGAAAAAATTATTTGACCTCTTATCAACAGGCTAAAGATAGAAATATTTGGGGCAGTTCTATGTAGTTTCAAATTGGCTACCATTCCCTAAAAACAACTCTGAGTGTGTGTGTGTGTATATATGTATGCGTGTATATATATACACACACAAAGTTAAAATATTTTCTTGTAACTGAATCAAAGCTCAGCTGTATTGACACAATAGTCCTGCAGACTTCAGTCTAAAACTAAACAAAGGATGCCTAATTTATAGTGGAGTCTTGCACACATGAGTCACCAGCTGACGTGTCAGACTTTCCTCAGATGGAAAGTTTTCCAACCCTGCATGCCTAGATGAGGCATTCAGCACATCTTGGTTCAGCAAGGCATTTGAGATCATTTTTGCATTTAGCATCCAGTTTGCTGAATTAGGTGAGATCATTTCAATGACAGAAGGAATTAATCATTTAGCAACCTGAATAAACCTTAGTACAAAACTACGAATTAAAAAATTTCTTTACCTTTGCTATTAGCAGGAACGAGCGTTCAAGAATGAGAATTGGGGCTCTAGAGATGAGGACTGAGGATTTTTGCTCAGAACCCAGCAGCAGTGAGTTAGGTTTGCTTACATAATACTTGCCGTCAGAGAAGCATGCAGCTTGATAAACAATAAAAATATTCCCTGTAGAAAAGAAATTTGGTACTACCTCTTTACAAACTTCATATACTTAGAGTGTATTACTGTTGTTGCCAGATACCTGTAGTCAAGCAGACGCTCCATGAGACGAGTAACTGATGTAACAAAAGAGATTCCAGTCTCCCGCCATGTTTCCTGCTCAATCTTCTCTAGCAAACTGTTTGGAGATGGAAAGACAGCGGATGAGGCTTCCAGGGAAATGGTATAGCGCATGCAGACAGCTGTGGACAACTTGGTTTCTCCCTCATAAAACAAATTCATAGAATTACTATCTTACCTGGGATAAGGCCCAAAGAGCTGGGTTCTACTCCAGGCAGCATGAAGCAAAGACAAGGAAATTACAGAATTGACAGGAGAAGGAAAAATAGCTTCACATTGCCATTTAAAGTATATGAAAAAGACCAATGCTCATGGCAACAGTTGATTCCCACGTTACTACCTGTAGCTTAAATACTGCTAACAGCAGTCAGAAGTTGGAAGGGAGTCTAAAGCTACTGCAAATACCTCTTCTTTGCTCATCCCTACATAAATTTTCATCTCTAATCAGCAACCAACCAACCTTGAATCACAATTTATTTAAACTGTAAATAAATACAGGCCATTTGTTCCTGCTTAGCAAACTGGACAATACAGTGAGCATCTCACTGAGACAACTGTGAAGGATGAGAGAAGGCTAGAGCGGGAACACTGAAAATCGTATTTAAACAGCGAAGAAAGAAAGCAAATTTACATGCTAGTTTCCTGAAACTGGATCTCCGGCCAAATAACTTGCCACTTCTATACTGGCAAGAGGAAAGAAATTCTGTTGGGTGTCATACATGTCCTCAGAAGAGGCAAACTCTCCTGTACTGAAATGATTTGCAGCCGAGGGAGCCAATTCACATTTTAGCAGTATAGTTGAGACAGTAGAATTCAGGGTCAATTGTTTATTTCACACAGCATTTATTAACTTTGTGGAATTGTTTCCTCAAAGTTCACGTTGTTCTCGGAAAAGTCAGCAGCAAATATAAACTAAAAGGTTGCCGGACTTCCAGGCTGTGTTTCTTGGTAATGCATCCAGTCACTATCATCTAAAAATAAGTAACAAGCTACAGTCCCTGAATTCTTAACATTTCGGGTAACAAATGTCTTCAACTGGAGCAAAGGAAATGCACAATATTTCTCTAGCCAGGTGAATGGAAAAAAAAAAAAAAAGAGAGAGAGAGAAATTTTCTTCCTTTATCCCTGAAATAGACTTATGTTATCTGTACACATAACGTGCCAGACTTCTCAAGGCTGAATATACACAAACCAAAACTGAATACATTTACGTGCTTCCTAAGGATACAGGATGGGCAGGCTTATCTATCTTGAAAATGAATGAATGTGCAATTGGAAATTCAGAAAGACAAGTATTGGTTCTAGTGAAACAAAGGTTTATGCCTCAGACTGCCAGCATGCTATTGGGGCCACATAAAATTGTCTGCAATATATGGCTAAAGTTCTGCTAATGATCTCTATGGCTGACTGGAATATTAAAAGATTTAGGGTTAACTGCTCCGGACTCTCAGAGTTCAAAACAAGTCCTTTTGAAATAAACTAGGATCACCGGAAATGAAATTTGGAGACAGATCAGTAATCAGAGATAACTAAGTGGAAAGTCAGATGTAAAGTTAAGTTTATCCTTACGAGTACGGATTTTTGGTATGAAAGGGAGTGGAAATACAGTGTCATGATGGACTCGAGAAATTTCAACCAAAACACGACCTTCAAAAACTGGAAGAAGCAGAGGAAAATGCTGAGGAAAATCTCTTTTGCTCTAACAAGGCCTGACTTGCTAGATAGTGCACTGTTTCTCTAAACAATCCTCAGGCCATGATTTCACTTATTGCTATGTAAAAAGAAAGGCACTGGCTCCTCTAGCAAATCAATTTTTGATAGGAAGATGATAACTACTTACCTGTGCAGCCTTATATTAGATTTCACAGAAAGGAAGACAAAGAAGAATTTAGGTTTTCGTATTCTTTTCAGAATTAGAGTGACGTACTTCTATTTCACTGAGCCATGTAATGAAAACCTGCCAGAAAGCCGTTTACTGCTTTCTCTGAAGATCAGCACTGTAGCTGCGGCCACTACTTTGACTCCTTCAATGACCCTGCACAAAGCAAAGTGAGCAGAAACTGGCATAGCTTACAGCAGGCTGAAGAGTTCCCTGTAGTTCTCATCACCTTTTCCTTCGGATACCAGGCTGTCCAGCTTATCGATCAACTCAGCTTCCACCTGGAAAAAGAAGCGACTGGTTACAAATTAGCTGTTCATGTACAAGACAAGAGTTCCAAACGCTAGGAAGACTGGAAGAATATTTTATGTCTTACGCCCTGGGGCTGCCCATTTCTGTGTGCGAGTGATTTATTTCTCTGTGGCTCAGTTAAATGGACACACTTTTCTCATTTTTCAGTGAAATAGGAGGACTAAAACTAAATTATCCTTTTGCTTATCAGGGTCTAAATTAACATCCCAGGGGAGGTAACACTTCTTCTTCACAGGAATTTCTGAAGTTTATTCAAATGACTGACTCAGAAAACACTTTCTGTGAACCAGTGTATCAGATGGACTATATCCTGTACCGTAACAGAGTATCCATGCAGAGAAACTAATTCATGGCCATAACTATCGCCACTGGTCTGCTGCGATGGTTCTGCTGGTAGGTAATTGATTTCCAATCATCCAGGCGTCATTACATTGGAAGATTATTTGTTCATTAAACCCGGTTTTGTCAAGCCTCTCTATGATTATATGACGCATTTTCTTTTCACATTTATATAAAGAGCCACAACAGTATCACTATGTTTCTTCTCCCTTACAAAGGTTTTGAATATGTATTCATTTCCCCCCAGTCAAATATGTCCTATTATCAAGTTTGATGTCAGATATCCCCATAAAATTGATTCAAGTGCAGAAATCAATGTATCTAACATTAAACAAAACAATTTCATGTAGTCTTCGAAATCTTGTAGAAAACATACTTTCAGTACTAATGAAGACAGAGGTTCCTAAAGGTTGCAACTGTTTGTAGAAATATGGCTTGTTTTTATTTAAAGACAAACACAGTTTGAGTTTCTCTCTGTTTTTCAGCTGCCAAATTGCAAAGGAAGTAAAGATGAGAAGGAAAAGCAAATCACCCAGTGGCACACAAATGGAGTTGTTGCTGAAATCATTAAAGGGAGACCTGCTTTAGTCCCTGAATCAGACTGCATTGTTATCCGGTATCGCTGAAAAAATAACCTTGTTAAAACATCAGCTTCTGAAGAAAATAAAAAGAAGGGCTTGCAAATGAATTTCCAGGATTTTTATATTTTCTGACAACCAATTTAGCATTCAAAAAGAGAAGCTCAAAATTAAAAAAGCTACCTTCTCTTTGCATGTGATCTACAATGACTTGACAGAAATCAGTAACGCATCTGTCCAGCTATCTAGCATTATACTGGACAGCAAATAACTTCCTGGTTCCAGCAGCTAATGTTAATAAGGTTTAATACATCTTGTGCTATTTAACTATTTATTTCATTCTCACTAATACAGACGATTATTCTGTCTTTAATCTTAGAAACTTACGATATATGCTTCATAAAACAGTGTGGAAATTTGCTCCATGGGTAATTTAAGAAATATTCTTGGAGCTCTAGTTTAGAATACATCAGTGAGTATAAAAATTAAATTAAGATTATGAAGAGTTCGTCTTGATACAGAAAGTATAAACAGGTCCAGACACTTGAAGATGACTGTAGTTACTTATAAATGTAAATGCCAGAGCAGGGACTGTTCTGTTGTTATGCTAAAACAAGCAAAAAGAGGACCATGATCAGATGCTACTGTAATAATAATAGTAGTAAATAATAATAATAGTAATAATCAAGGGAGCTGAAGAGGAAGAAAAACATAAGCTCCTGGTAATACTTTTCCACACAGCCTATAATGGGTCAGGTTATGGTTATGGAAAAGGTCTGTTATTCTCCTGGAACGGTGGATTAGATCTGGCATTTTAATGAGTTTGTGGATAATAAATAATCACATGAGTTATGATAATTTAAATAAAAGGATTTACTACTTCAGAGCACTTATCTGCAGATACTTGCCCCCAGTGATGCCCCAAACACAATGATAATGAAGCACTCTCATCTGAGGATCCAGTCCAAACCGATCCTTCATTATTAATACTTTGCACTTCAGGGATCTGTTTTGCAGTGGAAAATTTAAGCAATTCTCTGACCATGACTGGGCAACAAAACGATGAAGACTCCTCTCCCTGTTTTGCAATAAGAGCTCACAGCAGGTGGAAACTACAGAACTGTTGTCGGGCATAACCATTCCAGGAGAGCTGCTACAATTTCTTAAAAAAATGCAGTCACAAAGTCTGTTTCAAAGCATGATATAATTATTTAATTATTCAGTACCACTTTCTAACTGGAAATTGAAGACAGAGAAGCAAAGACCACTGTTTTCAAAAATACTGGCTAAATCTTTACATCTCCCATTTTTGGTTCTCAGTCTGACTCATTTAATGGTTGACTAAAGCCAACCTAAGTGAAATCTAAGTGAAACCTGAGTCAATCTAAGTGAAACCAATGGGAGCGGTGAGAGCCCAGCACTTAGAAAATTCTTCTCTCTTCCTCATCTCCAGTGTGATGAGCACATCGCTCCTCTTCTCTGTGTTCATGGGAAATGTAGCTTGCTGTAAAGTGCACTGTTTAAATAATCCTGGGAGTCTTGTAACAGTTTTGTGAGTTAAGCTTCAAATTTTCTACTTTTATATATTTACATGACAACGTCTTCTTCACAATCAGAAACAGATCAACAGATACAAACTCCTTGCTTCCAGCTGGACGTTGCAGATAAACAGAGCAAGAAAAAGAATACCGCAAATGCTTGGGAAGCGACTTCACCTGTTTGAAGTTGCCATTCTTTCTCTGCTCCCAGTCCATCATGTCATGGAAGATAGGGATCATGATATTCCGGACTTCTGGTTGTGGAACAAGTGTGACACCAAGAAAGGGGCCAATCATTCCCGGAATAAAGTGAATCTTATGCTCACCTGTACAACACAAAGCGACTGTAATTAAATAAAAGCCTTGGTTATCTGTCACTGAGAAAATGGGGAACCCCTGCAGTAATGACACATACAAAGTAGTAGGCATGAGCATTAGAAAAGCAAACACATCTTTTCCTGAAAGGACTGGAAAAACAGTATTTGCTTTACACCATTCCTAGCAAAGTCTCCGAGAGCATTTTTAATTTCACTGTGAAAGCCTGCAGCAAAAATTGTCAGTGCATTTTATTTGCAAAGGAATTCAAACTGTCAAAAATAACCAAACTAAAACATACTAACTAGGGGGAAAACAGGCCACAGATACTTCTAATTTATGACGAAAAAGATTTTGAAAGGGCTGGTGAGAACAATGGTATTTAATAGGACATATTTAGATTTCAAAGAACTACAGAGCTCTTCATCCTCAGTGTTATGGAAGTCTCAATTTCATAACTGACCTTGACTTAGGACCAAATTGCATTGCTTCTCAGCAACAGAAACCCAAGGCATTTTGCTAACAATCTCTTCCGCAGCATGCTTACTGTGCAGTCGCAGAGAATAAATCAAATAAGCCATATTTGGAACAACATTCAGTGATAAATATCTGTATCTACATATCTAAAATGGGCTTCCCACTTCTCATTTGAATTTGTCTAGCATCATTTTCTGGTTATTTGATCTCTGTTATGTTGGAGAGCCTTCTATTCTCCACACAGATGCTTAGAAACTGTGGTCAAGTCTGGCTGTATCATCTCAGTTGTGCAAGACGGGTCAGGCTTATTCAGTATTTTATAAAAAGGCATTTTCTCACTTCTGTAGTCATCTTCCTGACTGTTCTCTGAACTCTGTCCAGCTTGTCTTTGGGGTTTGGGGTTTTTTTGAGCTGTAGAAAGCGGGACCGGGCAAAGTATTCTAGTATCAAGTACACTTATGAAAAAACTGTGGCAGTAATATTGTCCTTCTTCTCTTACTCAAGATTCTTACATATTTTCTCAAAGATTATGGTATCTTTTTTACTCATGGCATTTTACAGGTAGCTCCCATTCAGCTGATTATCAGCATGATACATTTGTTTTCTTGAATAGCACTCCTACCTATATTCCTACAAATAAAATGTTCATATTTGGTTTTCTGAATGTATCGTTGCAGCCACATTATCAAGTTATCCAATCTGATTTGTATCATCCCTTTGCCCTCTTAATTATTCACCTGTTCTCAGAACCTTGTATTATTTGTGATCTCTATCAGCAAACATTTTTTTATTTTCCTCCAGAATACTATATGCTTCCTTTGTCCTCAAACATTTCCATAGGTATTCATTTTTGGTCCCTGATGGAGACAGGGTACTGGCCTAGCTGGACTTCTCTCATGCAGTACAGATGTTATTTGGCTCTTCTATTAATAAAATCCTGAATTACCTAAACCCAAGACTGCTGCAGCACACTTCTAAAAGCACGAGTCCTAGATGAAAAACCTCCATTTACCTTTTGAGACCCGTGGCGAGATATATTTTTCCCCATTTGGTAACATGCTTAATTTCTTAATCAAGATACATAGGAAAAGGTCAAATGCATTGCAGAAGTTGAAATTTGATCACAAACATTGCGTTATTGTGGACAGGGCTTTTGTGGGTTTTGGTTTGGGTTTTCTGTTTTGGTTTTCAATTTTTTTTTTCTTTTTAAAGTAGTAACGTAGAATTTGTTATGCATACCAGATACCTGAAGACACCAGAAAAGAAGCTTTACTGTATGCCATTTCTGGGCTTTGTTATCAAACACACATAGTTATGGTTTAGTGTTGGACTTGGCAGTGTTAGGTTTACGGTTGGACTCGATCTTAAGTGTCTTCTCCAACTTAAATGATTCTATGATTCTATAATTTTGAATCATAACAACTTTGGCTTTTGAATCACCTACAAAATTATAAAGTTGGTTATAGCTGTGAAAATTTAAATTTCTGCTTTACAGCCATGGATCAGACAAAAGTCAGAGTAACAGTATATCTCCATACAAACCTGACTGCAGCACAGTTGAAGGGATTAGAAAAAGCTGATTTTATATTTGCAAATACACAAAAACTATCACTGATGTGTCAAAACAACCAAAACCTGCCACTGTCACATTTGAGAAGAAAGCATTCAAATTCATAGGAATGTATTGTTTCAAATAAAAAACTATGATGAGACAGTGCAGAAGAGAGTTTTTGGTGGGAGGAGAGAAGTGCTTCCTGGTTTTACAACTCTTAAAAGAAACTAAGTATTCTATGCTGCTACAAAAAGTAAAAAAAAAAAAAAAATCCAACAGAAATCCGGGGTTACTTTGGCTTTGGTTTTTAGGACAGCGAAGGAAGAGACATACCCAGGTTCTGCCACATGCTGAAGAGCTCATATGCCATCATCACTCTCATATCGCCATATCTGAAAGACAGGAGATAGACAACTGCCTAATGGACAAAAACTGGCAAGGCAGTGATGTTAAAAAAAAAGAAAATAAATCAAATTCACATTTAAGTCAACATAAGAATATCAAACAACTCAACTAATCACTGAACACTGTATTAGGAGATCTACTTATTTATTTCCCAAGCATTTCCACATCCCAAGTTCCATAATAAAACACAGAGACTTGTGGTAGAAAAAGAAGTCTCATTTTTGAGGTGGCAGAAAAGGCTGGGAACCCAACAAAACATGTTCTTACTTATCCAGAATCTTCTTCCTCTTAGCTGGTGTGGCATTTTCTAGTTGGAGACTTGGCTGGTTTATAAACAAAACTGCCAGGCTGAAATAAGAGTTCCACACCTGTGACACAGGAAGGAAGTTTTGTAACATTACACTCCAAGGAGTAAGTTTTAAACAAGTGTAGGAAGACACATGTTCCTCTATATGTAGAATCAGATGGTTCCTTTTTGTAATCAAGACCTAACTTAATCAATATGTATCTTAACTATTGAGGTAGTAAACTCCTAAGGATACCAATGGATTATTTAAAACCTGGTAGGAACTAGAATTAAAAACCCCAAGAAGGTGTGCCACTGGGCTTTCCTCTTAGCACCAGAGTTCAAAAATGAATAAAGTCGGTGACTTCAGCAAAGTTTTAAATTGTTTTTTCTGTAGGCTAAACGGATTTTATCCCTCAAAAATCCCCAGAGACTACATTATATCATGAATGACAGCCCTATAATTTAGTCACTTTCCCCAAAGAAATGAGGCTTTTGCCATCATGCTGTGTGTACATGTGCCTAGGTATGTGTCTGGCAGCTTTTCCTTAGTAACACTGAACTTGTCGCCCATTTTCAACTGCATCAGACATAGGGAAAACACTCTCTAAGATACCGTGTTCCTCCCAGTTTTAAGTCAACAGCCAGAAAGCAAGACCTCTGGGAGAGGAACATCATGAATGCCCCAGCTTCAGGAAAAGCACTGCCCGAGTTTACATTTTATTAGCCATGAATCTGTAAGGCAGCATGCTTCGTTAGCTCCACTGCTTATGAAGGTACTTGTTTCCTTTATGAGCAGCTCAATTTTCTTGATTTGATCTATCTCACAGCGTATCTGTTCTACTTCCCCTCAATTCCACAGCAGATTCAATTCCTGCCTTTTATCAGTTAGGTCATCTTCCTCACAGACACTCAAATAAATGCTGCAAATATAATCAGCTAATGTAGAGAATAGCTCCTGTTCCTTTGTTACTGCTAGTTTAAAAAGATGTCATAACATTTTCTGAGCATAAATTCTTACTTTAAAATCAAAGTCCGTTTCCGTGAAATTCTTGTGCAGTGCAGAAGACAGGTACTGAACTGTTGTAACTATGATACTGCAGTCAAAAACAAAAAAAGAAAACAAAAAAGAACATTTGAATCTGGAGTAATAACATATTACAGTGGTCTGTGGTGCTGATTTTACTACATGTACAGAGACGGGCATTCTTCATGTCATCACCGCTAGATTCGCATCGACGTCACCTATCTTTCTATGTTTTAGTAAACAATTTGTACTAAGTGGTACCAGACTGAGAATTTTCATCATTATTGTAACTTTTGGAATTTACACAGGAGCATTTTAAATCCTGTCTATTTTGCATGGCTGGGTCATGTTACCTCCAGTGAAAGGAAAGAATACACCCATCTTCCTCTTGTTTTAAGCAGAAAGATTTTTTTTTTTTTTTTTCAGAGAAGAGCAACTCAAAAAGTTTGAGCTATTTTCATTCTTGGCTATACAATGGTCCTTTATCTGGCTCACACTTCAACTCAAGGTGTTTGTGAGTATTTTGCCAATTCTGGATTCCCTGGTATTTTTTTGTATAGTGGCTAAATACACCTTAGTGAAAGGCAATCAAGGCATGTGGTAAATTCAGGAATTAATAAATAGCATGTAGATAAGGCAACAATAATATCAAAAGAAACAGCACATCTCTGATTCAAATGCAGGCAATACTTCCAGTAACTCTGCTAAACATACCTATCGGTCTAAAGGTTTATGGCAAAATTACGCCAAAGGGAACTAGGTAACCTACAGCATCTGAGGTAACTACTCCTTCATGTGGATTTTTCTTTTCTTACAGAACTTCATTTAATCTTTGTGCTTGAAATACTGAAACCTGCTTCTTTCAGTTTCCATTAGCACGGTGAACTCGCAGAGCATATAGCTCAGCCGAGCAGTCAGCCTTCAGGAGAACTTCCATGGTCTCCTCTTGTAATGGGAACCGCTCCGGTTGTCAGTTAGTCAGTAGTAATTCTATAGCTAGTTTATCTAAAGAAACTAGTAAATAATTCCAGCCACCCTGTGTTCATCACACTGCTGCCATTCCAAACAGCATAGTACTTAACCCATCAGAAGCAAGAAAATTAGATAAAATTAAGCATTAAAATGGTAGATGCCAAGTTAATTGAGAAATAACTCTGTATGTATAATGAACTTGGCGTCATCGCTACGGTCTGCTCCTCCTTTTCTAAAATAACGGAGTCCTCCTGCTAGGTAGGTTAGGGATTGATGTTTATGGGAGGAGACAGACCTTTAATGTAGTAATTTACTGAGAAAGGGAGTTGAGAGGCCTGCCCATTAATACCACCTGGTGTGGGTAGCTGTTCCTCACCATGTGTTACGATGGCTGCTGTGCCACTCCTGCCCTCAATGCAGCTACTTCAGCTTTGGGTTTAAACTTTGAACTCTTTGATACCTGTGCACACTGGTAGAGTTTAAGAAATAGAACAAATACAGAAGTCCCAGTTTGGTCCAGAGTGTTAAAATAACTGCAGAATGAGGATGAGCACTCCAGAATTCCAGTCTTGATCACCACATCTCAGTCTGATGAAACACACTGCGTCACAGGCTTTAACTCCCCAGCTGAGGAGAAAAAAATTCCCATATAGAATGTCAACAGTTTATACCTGCTTCTCTACTTACTTGCTGGTGAGCAACCTCATCACCATCCAGTCTCGAGGAAAGACACTCATTTTCATCAGGTTCCGAAATACACAGAAAATCTTCAGGAGGAACTCCTATTGGGGAAAAAAATTTAAAAAAATAAATCACCAGCAGCTGCAGATTAATCTATTTTCTTGATTATAAGACAGACAATTAAGCCAAGTGTGCTCCACTTGAGCTTTGTGTTACTAGGCCGCTCACCTGAAAACATGGAAACAACATATATTGGGATATGGCTTTATTCTTTTTGTATGCGTCTAATAGGTACTACACAAGTTGCAGCTGTCTTTTAAATCTTAACTTCTACAGCGAGATGAAAAACTTCCTTACGTGCGTAATTGTATATAACATCTCATATTATCACCCAGAGTTCCAGTGTCAATTTGCAGCTATTTTCAAATACAGTGGAATCATAATCATTTATTTATGCATTCATTTAATTAATGTATCTGTCCAAATCTCTTTGCACTTATGTCAGAAATTTGACAAAAAACCCACACACCCAAGCCCAATAAAACTCCTACATATGCTTTTTAAAATAGTAACAGAAAACCCCATTTCTGGCAATATGCAGCAGAAAAGATCTCTTAAACACATTCAGCTGAACATTTGCTTTCCAAAAAAATCCCCGAACCCGAAGACATTCCTGTTTTTTGACTACCTGCACCTCTGTGTCTATAAAGAACAACAGCGAGGATAAAACATGCCAAGTTGTTGGCCTTGCAAACTGTGATTTTATTATTTTGTTTTTCTTCTAGACAAAATCAAGATAGCACAGAAAGTGGCAGTGCAAGGTTTCTTCAAAACTGTCCTACAGCTATGCCTTGGTTGCAGGGGGTGTGTGTGTGCGCGGAGATTAATATCTTGGTGTAACTGAGCTCCTTGACTTTTGGCCTAGATGTAACAGTGGTAAGTGAACATAATGCCTTTCCATCCAAGAGAAAGTATTGGAAATATTTGAAGGAAAAATAAAAGTAATATATTTTATTAGGTCAACTGATAGTTGGAAAAAAAGTTGGGTATAAAGTCTTCAGCCTCTGTGATACTCCTGGAACGTATCCTTAGATTATCAGAGATACAACAGTGTTTGTTCTTACGGGTGCAAAGACAAATTTCAGTTCAATGATAAACCTTTTCACTGGTCTGACATAAGAACTACAGTTTCGATAGCTTTTAAAAGTATCTATTAAAAATTAATATGAATTAATTTACCAAATAATTTCCTTATGAGCAATTCGAAAGTTACCTGAAAGGTAGTAATCTCAGATAACTATCAACCTCAGATACACTGAACCCTGCAACCTAAAGGTAAGAATTATATTATCCCAAATTTATCTCCCCGATTTATTCAGCCTCTCTGTATGCACATGAAATACTTAGAAGCTGAAAGCCTATTCAGAGAGGACTTCTCACTGTTTCTCTATTTCATTTGTTAAGGCAACGCAAGTTCCTGCCACATTACATTCTTCTTATTGTCCCTATTTTACTGAGTGCCATGCTCATCAAAAGCATTTTATATAAAATCTTGTCTTTATTCATGAAATTATTCTGCCTTTTAAACAGACTCTTGTCAGAGATACTCCTCTTTCCTATGGAAGCCGAGATGAAAAGTTAGTTTCTGCTGGTTTGAGATGTGCCATTTCAAAATGTCAGTGGCAAAAAAGCCATCAGAGAGGTCTGCACCCTTCACCAACCCCTTCTGTTCGCGAAGAGCCATAATTTAAGTTAATGTTCACAAATTTGGGAAGTATGCAGCAAGTGGAGTAGTAAGGTTACTGCTTTCCCAAAAAGATTCCATCTGCTAGACATCTGTATCCCCGAAAAGGCTTGAAATTCTCTTTTGGCATAAAATCAACACCCTTCGTTAGTAAGCTCCAATGTGTACTGAACATCTAGTAAAATGCTATAGAACAACTGACTTTACATTCACAGGATTAAACCCCCCCCCCGTTCCTCTATGTTCTATATGGTACAATAACGATATCCTCTAATATATCTAGTAACATCTATCTTGGGACTTCATTTGCTGTTATGAAGATAATTCAGTGCCCTGTGGTCTTAAATGTTTTTGTAACACAACACCTATTCTTATAAAAGTGAAAGGAAGGTCCATGAATAGAGTGCCAGTGAAAGGGAGTGATTAGCAGCGCAAGTAATGCTGGAGGGATTCCCCTCCGCTCTCCCATTCCGAGTGAATCACCCTACAAACATGATGTTCTCTTGTACCTTTAGTTCATCCTTGCTTTGGAAGTTGTCCAGTAAGTGCTGGAAATGAGTGTCTGACATCTGACGAAGCAAAGATAAAAGGCAGGAGACATACTCTCCCTGTTGACCGAATGAGAAACCATTTCATTCAGACAATCTGAAATTTCATAAACATAAAACTCAACCTGGGGTAAGGTATAAAGGGAGGGGTCTGAAATGGCCCCAATGCCTATGAGAGGAAAGCTGACATGCACAGGGATTAAAAATACTGCACGTTAACAGTTCTTGAATTAATGTTAATACATAGGAATACACCTCTTAGAGGCTCCCCCACAGATGCCAGTTTTAAAGGTCTTTTAACCAGTGTTGTAGTCTAAACAAAAATAATTTAAAATTATTAATACAGACATTAAGGAATCGCCCTCCAAGCATGCAGTTTTTGACAAACACCTTTTTCAGTTACTTAATACACTGTGTCTATCAAAGGTGTGACTGGCAGCTCATGCAGACATACCAGGAATTATTTAAACTAATTGGCTCAAATACTCAAAACAGTATAGCGATGACAGCATGGGATCAGTACGGGCTACAAAAGGTGTCTGGAATCTTGTAAATGTTTGGCTTATTAGTGTTCAGCAAGTTATGTGCTGTCATAGCTACAGTACTAACAGTATTCCAGTCAGATATTCTGAATATAGTTTGGGTAAGCCTACATGAGCTACAATTACATTTCTGGCCTGCAAAGCAGATGCACCCTAACCGGTTACCACAGTATCCCAAAGTGTTTTCCAAAGATGAGCTCCCCCATTTTACATATCTGAAAGCAAAGCACAGAGAAGTTAAGCAATCTGTCCAAGATAACAAGCAAGGCAGTGCCAAGAACGTAAGGACTATGTCTTTTGACTGCCAGTCCCTTGCACAACACTATTTTTTTCTGTGACAACGAGCAATTAATTGGGAAAATATACAAACCACTTTCTAAGCAGTATCTAATAAGATTCCACATATCACTGTGAAATAGAAACGCAGGAACAAATACAAGGGGATTTTATACTTGGGACTGTCCATTCCATTTTACATTTTTTTCTGAGTGGCTCAAGCATCTACCCAGAAGCTTTGGCACAGGTTGTTCCAATCAACTTTACAGGCTGAACTTCATTAGGAAAAAAGGTGTGAGGTGGCATGTGATAAATAACAGTAAGTCAAATGGTAGGAGTAAAAGGAAACTGAGAAGATGTTGCTGGACATTAGCAAGCTAGCGCCTTTCTTGTTTTGTATCAAAGAGCATGTCTGAAAATTACTAAATGCCTTGGTCTTTATTAGGATTCTACCATTTGTTACTTTATCTGAGCTAACATGGGAAGATACAACCTTTTCTCTTGTGTGAGACGTGTACCTTAGTGTACCTCTGCCCCCAACAATACCTCTGAGGTTTCAGCCATTTGATAAAAAAGGAAGTCTAAAAAAAGGGATGTTCTGAACAACAGCTTAACATCATACATCGTGCAAAAGCTGCATTAGAGACTCTGACAAGCAAAAATAGACTAAAATAGGCTAGAATAGAAAAGGGCAACAAATCCAGAAAAGAAGAAAGCTGAACAGCAAAATTCTGTTCTTTTCCTCCTCTTCCATTGCACGTCAAAGAAAAAATGTCTTCCCCTAGGCTTATGCTGGCAGTCGGGACAAAGTGGTGGCTTTTCCCTCTTCCCCCACCAAGCTCAACAGCTCACTTGACTTAGGATCTGTTAATTTCTTTTTCAAAAGTATGTTGTGTTTCATTTGCATGACATAATCAGTGAACCTGGACAGAAGCTCTCCAGGGTGTTAAGTAAAGGGACTCGTCCACTGAGCATTATGGTATTCTCAGCCTTGGGAATCAGAGCCGGATACTCACAGAGCCCTTGGCGATACCTACTTAGGGGTGAAGCCCTAGGCAGCTACCCAACTAGCGTGTGCCTCAGTAAACAGTAACTCACAGCTGCAAAGACAGACAAGAAAATAACCTGGAAATCCACAAAAGCTTCCCGGGCTCCACTGCCTCCTGCAGACCTCACTACTGCACAGAGGAAGGAATGGATTTGTGGCTTATTTACCAGACAGTTCAACTTCATTCAGGCATCTTTGAGCAATAGGACCCAAAACATATAAGACAAAGCCCTGGGCATTCATGCAGCAGAGATGATAATGAGGTGCCGGTGGTGGTGAGGGACTGAACCAAAGGTTAGAGAAGCAGGAAATAGAAACTGATTGTTAGTTACTAACAGTGATTTCTGCTGTGCACTGCGGGCAACGCTGCCCTCTTACCGCCTCCTGAGACTGCGATTTACTCATGATTGTAAGCAGAGTTTGTAAAAGCACATCCAGGAGGCTCTCCACCATCATCTCAACCTCCTCCACGACATCTCCCTCCTACAGCAAGTGGTGAGCAAACAGACAGTTAGAAACTGGAGAGAACGGAATTGGCAAAGACAATTCTGCTGAGTCAGCCATACCACAAACTCGTTTTGATAGAGAGCTCCTTAACAGAGGTTCAGAGAAGTACAACCAAATTCCTCATCGGTACCAGATACTGTTGTGATGCCAGTGTGTGTGTGTGTTACCTCGTCAGTCTCTGATGGAAACATTCAGGGTCACAGCCATAAAGGTAAATCTATAACCAAAGGTCTGCATACACTCTAGAACACAATGGGATCAAATTATGTTCAGGAACCTTTATTCCAAGGCAGTATTATTTTAGCTTATTACCACCTCATTCCTTTCACACAAAACCGTAACTGGAAATACACATTGGTATGAATTATATTTAGCACCATGAGCTTCCTCCTTTCGAGTCGGATGGGGAAACTTCAGCACCCTCTGTGAGCATGGCTTTAAATGATCAAGTTACCATCTGAGATCAGAGTATTATGATCATCAAAGCTGGGTGTTTAAACTCAGCAGCAATTTCCAGAAGGAAGTGTGATTTCATTGATTGGATAATTTTAGAGTATTCTCTTAACATGAATCACAAAGCGCTAGTTACTGTCTCTTGCAGAACTACAAGTCCTAGAGTTGTGAAGAGTTTTTAAACTCCACTGACATCTAATTTCTGGTCTTGAATGAAGAAAATTAAACCGTGTCAAACCTGGTAAATGCGTATGCTTTTTTCCCCTCCTAACAGAAAGAACACTGTGTAATCAGAATGCTCTGAGTCACACACACAAAAGCAGACCCTCATTTCAGATATTCTCCTGCTGACAGAAAGTTAGCAGAATTTCGTTTTTAAAAGGATCTTAGAAAAACCTGTGTTAACCTATAAAAATCCCTCGGTTCAGTGGTGTAATTAAAAAAAAAAATAAAAAAAAATCAAGCAGCAGATTACCAAAGAGCTGGTCTTGATTATAGAGAAGATACTACTGAGGATCCCAGAGCAGATAAGTAGCTCCTTCTGCTGTCGTAGGTGAAGGTGAATGTGGTGAAGAACTACAGGTAGCAGGATGCGCCGGGACTCTGAAAGAAGGAAAATGAGATCACAGTTCTTCCAAAGGAAGATTAAATTTCAACCATCCCAATGGTATCCAAACCTTTTGGTTTCCAAAGCCTTTTGGTATCCAAACTAGCCTACTGATATACAGCACGTTTGATTAATTGGTGCAACTTCTGTTGTACAGATTGTAGTACACTACACTTCTAAGAACTGCATCCAATGAATGAATAGTGCATCTACTTTCAAAAGTTCATAAATGCAGTATACATGATGTTCTCAACAGCGATTCAGCTTGGAAACAACAGTTGCGAACTGACACTTTCTGTTGTTGATTTCTTTTGTGCATACCCTTCCTCACTTCGTGTTGCTTTCCAGCTCTATTGTCACAGCTACTAGAGCTTCTCTAATACATGCCTCTTGGAAACTGGCTAATTCTTCTCTTTTAGCTGGCTTACAAACCTTAATCTTATTGAAGAAGGGAGAGCAGGTAGCACCTGCAGAAAACAGTAGCCAAAAAATGGCAAGATGTCAGCAAACGGACTGACAGGAGAGACAGAAGGAAAACAAGTCATCACCGTATGGGAGGCAAGAAAAAGAGAATGTATCTTCCTTTAATTGCAAGACCTGAAGAATAGGTAGGGTGCGCAGGCAAAAGATAACTTTGGAAATTAGATTCATCTTCCCGGGGCAGACAGGACACGGGAGAGATCGCTGACCTGGGAGTATCGGGTCCTGCTTCCACGGGAAGCAATAGGATAGGGGTCGGGTCTACCATTACGTCGGGTGGAAAATGTGGCACCTATACAGTCATAGCTGCCTCGCAACGCTGAAGCTTTCTTCCTGGTTTTCGATGCTGTAGTGAGATGGCATGGTGCTATGCAGCAGCTAAAAGCATCATTAGTTGCCAGTATCATTGTAAAGGAGAAATGAAGGTTAATGGGAAGGACTCAAGCCCTGGACCCTGTGGGTGAAGTTACAGCTGGCTTTACTGAGAAGACAAAAGACACGGGTTTTTGCCCGTGAACTGGCACCCACCAAGACAAATATTTTTATCAATAGGTTCAAAACACTGTAATTAGATAAAATTCACTGCCTGTTTCACAGCCACCTTTGGACTAATTACTCATTCTCTACACTCTCTCATATTTTTTGAGATGAATTTCAAATTTAAGAAAAAACATATATGTTTATAAACAATTACAGTGGATGGTTTAAACATGATTCTGTGTTATCATTCTCACCTTGCACTGAGTAGAATAATTTGAGCGCGCTAACTTGAGATCCTCACTACAGGGAAGATAAGCCCAATGGTGCTTCCACTGTTACCTTTGTAACTTCTTTCATTCAGACCTTTATGTATGAAATAAACTCACCATCTTCAACACTTCCTCATTCAATTAATTCTTAAAGAATTACTAGTATGTTGAGCTAAAGAAATATTAAAGTTACAATGTGAAGATTAAACATACTTTAAAAGAATGTGGTGGGTTTCTCACAAAACTTTATCTCCCTGTTTCTCTTTCTCAGACAATAAGCTTGCTGGAAAGGAGGTTATCTTCCTATCCATGACAACAATAGAAGAGTAATACATAGTATCAAGTGAGATTTGGCAGTTTTAATAATTGACTTGATTTGTTAATGTACATATTTTTATCAACCTTTAGTCACTACAATTTATCCATGATGGATTTATAAACGTTTTCGACCATAGGGAAACTTACAACGTACCCACAGTGAATATATGTAACAATGATGCCGCCAAGATCAATACTACCACGATTACTGACATTCAGCAATGAAGCATTTGCACCAAAGCAACTGCAAAATAAATGTAACGTGTTCCTACTCTTAGTTAGCGGCAAGACTTAGCCTCAGAAACCGCTGTCTTACCTGAGAAAGAGAACAGGCGGCTGTCAACAGTGCGTGCAATAGATTGTAGCTTAACAACATCCATTGATTGCCCAATGTGCACTGTACTGGGCATGCTGCCCAGAGTACCCCTCACAAACTCCGCTACTTCCTGCACAGTGAACATCTGCAACAGCTCATCAAAGATAGCGGGGAAGGAGTTCAGCAAAGCAGCCTGAAAAAAGTAAATGAAGAAACTCAAAATTCTGAATTCTGTAACTGCAACTAAACACAGTGAAACAGAAACAAGAGTAAAACGGAATTAAGGGTCTGCAAAAAGCTACTAGATAGTGCACTGTGGCTGGTGTAATGCTTTGCAACACCTAAAGTTTATAGGGAACAAATCACAGGTAACAGAAAATCAGGTGCTGCTGCAATACTAAGTCTTACAATAAGTTGAGCAGATACATACTGTAGAGCTTCAAAAGGCTGTATTTTAGGACACAGCTTATAAAACGGAAAAAAATTGAGGTACCAGAGAACAGAAAATACTCCATTTTTGTTGATTTACTTTTTTCAATATATATAAAACTTGCTTGTGATTAGAGAGTTCCATACCATTTTTTTGTACTGAACAACTACCCAAGACAGTTAAAACTCTTCAGAAAATATTTTGAAGTAAAGAACATGTTGACAGACCCTTAACCATAGCAGCACCGTCATGTGACATTACAATATTTCTGCAACAGGGGTGGGGTGCTATTTCATGTGAAAGAGGCATCACATCATGCAAGTAGGTGTGCACGTGATTCTTGCAATAACGGATATTTCCAGTAAGCTGGAGCTATCCTTGAAGGTGTTTCTTAAAGTGCAGAAACAATATCAGCACAACAACAACAACAATCAAACTCTTCATCTCTTATTTCACACTTTTTCAATTAATTTCTTCATAACGGCATAAAATTCCATGCATCATCGCCCTATCCTCAAGTTCCACAGACTCGGTGTCATACCTAACAACCGCACCACACCTCTAACGTTTTAAAATTCTTCTCGTTCTTCCTCTCATCCTACCCAAGGTCCATACCTGTTTCCTCATTAACTACTTGAATTCCTAGATGGTTGCTTTCTTGAACTGCTGCACAGTCTGGTTTTGATTCAGCTGCCTTACTCCCATCCACCCCAGCCACAGCCGCCCCCCTGCACGCTTCCCCTTCTTGCTGTTTCCACCTCCCTTGTCTGAAGCTCTCCACACAAACCACGCTGATTTCCTGCAGAAGTTCAGATTTACCTAACTTTGTTCCAGATCTCTGTTCAGCTTTGCCCTCCCAGAGCCTGACCACCTATCAGTATTTTCTTCTATTCTGCAAGTTCTCCTTTTCCTCACAGATTTTTTTGTTTTCTCATTGCATAAACTTTTCCGTACCTCTCCCATGCTGGCTCGAACAGTTGGCGTGCCTCTCCTAATCCCATATAACATACAGCTTCCTTCTTTGCCAAGTCTTTCCTCAAAGTCTCTTTTCCTTCAAACAACAGTGATATCTATCTAATAGCCTTTGAGCAAAGTCCAAGTTATTTTTACAACTAACACTGTAGAGCCCATTAAATTATTCTGAATATAAATTTACCTCTTTCTTCTATGCGCTCGTTATCTCTCTCAACATCTTGTCTTGTTACAATTCAATTCAGATTACACAAAAACCCACATAGCCTCCTGGGTGTTGTCACCTATTTGTTGCTACGTACATACAATGTACTAACAAAATAAACAAACATGAATCATTTAAATAGCTCATGGTACTCTTGGAAGGCTGTAACAGCTGCAAATCCAGTCATCGTCTTTATCTTTGGGATAATATAAGTGAAATTACAATATTGGCCCAACAAATCCTTACAGGAGTTTTCCTAAACTTATTTCTAACTATTACTATAAAGCAGAAGGATTTCTGTGGTGATTTAGGATATCCAGTAGCAATCTAAGGATATGCATGGGATCTCTTCCGGAAGCTCTGGAGCCGTCTTGAGGAACAGCTACATCGTTTCATCAGTTCCTTGAAGGGCCCTTTTTTGTACAACACCCTAAAATATGCTGGAACATTACTCATGTCAAACTAATTGCCTGAAAGGAAGGACATAATTAGTTCTAATCTCATCGCTGGAAAGAACTATATTGAGATCTCTGTAATATCCTGGATAAGAGGGCAAGTGTGAGGAAAATTATGTTGGCTAGGGCCTCAAGCATTTCTGTAGATATTTAACAGTTGTCCAGATTTCCAGAACTAGTAGATAAACTCCTTGGCTCTCCTGAAGAATTTGACGTATATAATCTTGTATACGCCCTCAGTACTGTATTTTTGGTGTGTGGATGCCATAAGCTGTTCCATTAATTACTGAAATATTTCACAATTTCCTAGTTTTAAAGTACCAGCCACTTAAACAGTAAATTCCAGTTTATATGCAGGAAAAGAGGGTTTGGGGTAGGGAAAAGGGATTCATTGGGAACATCCATGATGAAATACGCGTGTAGTTCTGGGGATCATTACTTACAGAATTAAATGACGGCCTTGAAGTACCACCACATTTTTGTGGGGCACATGTCCCAGCTCCGCTCGCCTGCCCTCCAGGCTGAGAGGCCTATGGGGCAATTGGGATCAAGAGGCAACATAGTGGCAAGGGGGAAACAAAAAGTAAACTTTTCAAAGATTAAACAAGGACAGGCTTTACAAATTACAAAAGTCCAAAGTAAGAAATACCATAGTGAGAGAAAGGAGGGGAAAAAACAAAAGAAAAAAAAAAAAGAGGCAAAAAGGGAAAATAACCCCATCCTCAAATCTAGTTTCCCTCTGTATTTGTGATCAACACAACTGAAAAACAAAGAATGAACCCTAAACAGCCTGCATTCCACTGCTTCCACTCGCTGTCCCTTTGCCTGCAAAATTCTGTGCACCAACTTCTCATGTTTCTGGCTCATCTTATTATACCCACTAATGGGTAATTAAATAAAAGATTAGAGCAGCTGTTCTCAAAATCTTTCAGAGCAGCTTCTCTTAAGCAGGAGATCACATTGCTGGCAGCTTCCCTAACCAGTGGAGTCACTCTGTTTTGTCGCAACGTTCGCAGTAACTGCTTCTTTGGCAAACTACTGTAGGTGTTCAAAACATCTGTAGATAGTAAATTAGCGATTACAAATCACCTTCATATTACCAGGAAGTTCTAGGAGGTCCACTCCAACGTTCTGTGAGCTGAGGCACACAGAACACATTTGACATTGCTATTTAAAACTTCTAAACACAGAAGTACGTAATTTAGTACAGTGGTCTTCAAAATACGAAACAAAACTTAGCAGCATCCTTACTCACTTTGAGTAGTGCCTTAAGCCCACATGAAGTCTTCGTGAAGTCATCCGGGCCATATTAAAAATAATGTACTAAATGCGAGTGTGGGTATCACAGTATGCTTGCGGTCAGGCTGCACGTGATTCTGACCGTAATTTTAGAGTATGCTGGAATTAAGTTTATCTGACTGCGAGTACATCAGTTGAACTCCTCTACTTGATGTTGCTATAACCCTAAGTATTGACTTGAGCTACTACAGTTAAGGATTTAAAATTTCTTGAGGCCAACCGTAAGACGTATGAACGAGAGACTTGAAAATGCAGTTTACTTTTGTGAAGAGCAAAAATTGTATTCTCACGTGACAAGTCACTTTCCTCTTGAGAGTCCACGGTTCAGCTCACCTGTATCTGTGAAGTGGTGCAAAGCTACTGTCTAATAACATTAACTGGCTATGTCGTTTCCCAGTATCATCAGCTTGTTAGAGGGGGAAAACTCTACTAACCTGCATTTAATCGTCGTGTGCCCATATATACTACCTGTGCAGAAAACAGCTGCCTTTTGGTTTGCCAGTTAAAGTGTAGAAAATAGCAAACCTGTGTGAAGATGAGAGTCTCAGAGCTCCTGCTGTCCAAGCTGAGCACAAATCTGATGGACTGGAAAAGCTCCTGGATGCTGGAGCGGAACTGTTCCTCCTCCATTCCACAAGTAGCTCTGGAGTAAAGGATCCGAGATTGGACAATGAACTTGAAAAGATATTCCAAGGCCTTAAGGAGCAGGAGAAGAAGGAGATTAAGATAGAGAAAAAGAGAGAAAGAAAAACAAAGGAGCTTTAAAGAGAACCAGGAAAGATTCTAGGTGCATAATAACTAAATTCTTCAGCTTTAGAAAGGAGAAAGAAACACAGGTTTTGTAAGTTATATAATTCAGTTAAGGAAGAGCTACTCACAGGCAAGTACCCATTCTCAACCAATAATCTTTGTTACTAGTATGTCCCACTAACAAAAAAAGTATGCATTTAAGTCAAATAGACAAATTCAAGTTACATAATTTGAGGAAAATCTTGGTGAAGATAAGAGACTTCTAGTTTTCTCATGACTCGGCACAATGACTGTAAGTGTCTGAAGAAGCTATTCTCCTGTCTTCATTCAAATTTTACCTTTAATTACTTGCGTTAGCTAATCTAGAATCTACTTTTCAATATGAACACAACAGCAAGGTTCACCTTTATTTCTGGCAGCTACATGTACAAACAGAAATAAATGCAGATGCAGAAATAGAAGAAGACAAGAGCAGCGTGTGAAGCCCTCTGGCAGCCCGTAACAGCAGCAAGCAGCAGTACTGTAGTGAGTATCTTTTTACTTCGAGCTGTGGTAAGTTAAAGTGTCTGTCTTTTCTCGTCACACATGAAACTTGGAAAGCACCCAGCAGAGGGAGAATAACCTGCACAGAAGATGGCATTTAACACCGTTACACAATGTGCGATAGATGCTGCAGTCCCGAAGGACTGGCAAATTGCATCTCTTTGTAGCAGAATGATAATTTGCTCTATGACACGTCTGGATTAAGTCTGAATTTGCAACCTAAACATCTTCAACTAAAATTTTGTAAATGGCATTATTCAGAACTCCATTTATTTGGCAGCAGTGTCAATGAAGAAAAATACATTGTTCTGTGGAACCTTTAACAAGCTTACTCATCTATCAAAGGTTCTCACAGACACTAATATAGCAATGTAATATTCCACACAGCAACAAGGCCTTTTTGATCATTTGGTGTACACAACTGTCAGCGCTGAAACGTGCTAAAGATCAGTGACATTTAGACTTCACGCCTTCCCTTAGCGCTTAACATGATACACCATTAAAGCAGGATTAAGGGAAAACATGATGCATAGTTTGATGATATCCTCAAAATTCAGCACAGGAGACAAACAGGCTGGAGCTTCAGTAATCACAGTCTATACAGAAACATTAGTAATATTCCACTGTACTTGCTGGAAAGTATTCTCGTCTTGCTTCACTGTTTGGAAACTGAAAGTTAATTCAAATACAAACTTTGCCCTCATCAGGTATTTTTGCATCCATAAGACGTCCCTCATCGAACCACCACACTATATGCACGAATATGCAATGTTATGTTGCAAGCTTTAGAATGCTACAGCTTTAAGGACAGAGAATGGGAATGTGAAATTCCTCATAAAGTCATCACGGATTTCAAAATGCCACTGATACTTGCAGCCTTTTTTTTTTGTCCCCAGGAATGATGGCAACTTTGGTAATTCGGCAGTACATTATTTATACTTCCGTACTAAAAAATCTCCCAGTGAAGCTTCCTTACACAAAAGAACTTCATCAGGAAATAACACTTTATATTTCTGGATAGTTTCCAGACAAAGGTCAATTGGTTCACAAAAGTCAGCTCTTTAAGGTTAGCATCTCTGCTGCTAACACCAAATACAGCAAGTCAAGTGCTCATACAAGCTGTTTTATCGGTTTGGTATAGAGAACTGTAATTCTAACCTGAAAGCTCGTAACTTTAATGTGAAGATTATGTTTTGCAATGAATCAGAGGATTTATGTATGAAGTTCTATAATTCTCTGTTGGAAGTGAAATGGCAGGCTTTCAGAGACACTCCACGTCCTTAGCACAGACAACCTAAACTGTTGCCTAGAATTAAAGGCAGTTAACTGAAGAGTTCAGTGTGTTTGCAGACACGTGGCTGAGATGGTAAAAACACAAACCAAGTCTTGTTAGCACAAATCAGCACTTGGAGTAACTTTGACTCTTGCTACTTACAAAATCACAGACATGATTCATATATGTGCCTAAAGACACAGAAGTGCACTGAAATAAAATTCAAGCCTTCTATTATGTTTGGCATGATATACAAAAAAATCAGTATCAAATTAAAGGAAGTTTCTTAAAAACGTAGTCTGTATGCATGTTCACACAACAGGTGAGCACACACCACTCACCTGTGACCAGCAACCTAAAGACTCACGGTACATCACATGCAAAACTTACATGGACAAACAGCATCGTGACCTTATTTCCTCTCAAACAAACGATCCCTAAATTCTACCAGTGGTACTCCAGGAGAGACGAGAAAAGGAGTACGAAATGTGCATATAAAGCATAATGAGATAATGCATCTCAAAGAACTTCCACTTACTAATGAGTAACCTTCCTTTCTTCTCTGAGTGACTGTCCGTGTGCATGTTCACCCTGAACACAGGAACAGCACATCTCAGCTTGCACAGATTACCTGGTGGTTGGTTGCAATGTCCCAGGAGAATTAAAACCAGAAGACCGCTATGACAAAAGCAGCCCCAGTTAGAAGCTTCTATGACAACACAGGTAAAGTGGATAAATTGCTGTGGTTATTCTGCAGGTCTAATGGATAAAGATACTCTTCAGAGACACGAGTGTCACTTGAGCCTTCAGGGATTGTGCTCAGACAACATTTGATGGTTCTACTGTAGCACATTCAAAAATCCAGTGGACAGTCTTGGGGACAGTACAGCTGCACATCTGGACTCATCTGCTGTAAAGATGAAGAGTCTGTTCAATTCAAACGAAAGGCAAACCATACCTGACGTTCAGAGTATGAACAGATGAATCAACCTGGTATCGAGCTGCTTTAAGAAAAAGCACAGATTAATTTCCTAACTCAAGAAACCCAAAGATTACTTTAGGAAAGAATCTGGAGTATGTAGAACGGGTAACCTTATCATAAGCACAGTGTATGTAAAGAGGATTAGCTCTGAAGGTCTGAATCTCTTTCACTGTCCTAACCAAAGTGAAAAAAAGCCATTTTCAGTAGTCTCTGTGTATCCACCTTTCAAGAGCAGCTAAGCAAACTTCTTCCTGCTACTGTCAATGTGTTTTTTCCAGAGAACAGCATACTTGCTTCGAGTCCAAGAAGCATCTACTATGCAAACTGCATAGAAGTGCAAAGAAAAAGAAAAAAAGTGCAAAGGTTCAAGTGAAGGTACCAATTTGAGTCTTGTGGGAGCAGATAAAAGACCTAGGGCAAAGTTCAAGGCAACAGCAATAAAAGGAGGAGCAAGTCTCACAAACAGGCTGACCAGGGTGGAACAATTATAATTACATCAGCAATTTTCTGGTATTCTTAGAAGAAGTGAGACTGTAGAAAATGTAAATCACCAAATAAGGTAATTATTTCTGAATGAGGTAATTAATAACTCCAGAGACAGACTGGTCTCAAAAGCAATGGACTGACATTTCTTTTTTAAGTTCAGGGTGCAGAAAACAATTTGGAGGAGTACCCAGTCTGAAAAGGCAGGCTGAGAATGTGATTCCAAATCTCTCATTCAGTAGCTCCCTGGCTCAGAAAGTATGTTCAGGGTTTTGAAGAAATCAGCTGGAAGACTGACCCCTTCCGTATCACCGATTCATGTAAAGCCCCATAGTAATGGTATGCAGTACCTCAAAGTCTCTAAAAAAAGTTCGATGCATGTTCTGCGTGGTTCAGCTCCAGAACACTGACATGACGATGTGACTTCCTGAGGAAGAAAAGGTCTTGCTTTTCAGCGGGTTCCTCAATCTAGGCAAAAACAACCTGCGATTCTACTACCGGAAGATAACTGAAGGTGGAAGGGCACCTCCTAGAGGCAATTCATGAGTTTTGGCATGACCAGTAGGGAACGTAAAACTGTCTGTGGAGCCATACATGGACACTTCGTTACAGAATCCTCCAGGGAGGCACAGGCAGCTGTATCTGGATGCATCTTACATGGAGCTTGTTATAGGGCATAATAAAGGAACATGATGCCATGTGTTCTAGCATAGGTAGAGAGCCCCTTTCGGTTATAGTTCCTCCAGGTTGCATAGAAGTTTTTTGAGAATTCAGAGCAGTCTTGAGGGAGGTAAGTAATTTTAGAAATAGTCTAGAGCACCGCTTGCTAATGCCAAGGTTGAAAATCAGAATCCTATGAGGACGTCCGCATATCCATCATGAGCGTACATGGGCAGTCAAAAGCTAAAAAAGAGTGCAGAGCTATTTCAACATCTGCTTTATGGTACTACATTTCACAGCTAATTCAGAGAAAAAGGGATAGAGAGCTATCCTGTTTTCTCAGTTGAAGAACTACTAATGCAAGGAATGTAGTGAAGACATCCAAGACCACAGAAATGCCCAACAGTAGAACACAGTACTAGCAAATGACACATTAGCAACGATAATGGTTTTGGTACAAACTTGCTCCAAATGCCTTGAATAAAATCTGGAAACAAAGAAGGAAATCAATCACTTTCCTGTAATGGAAGAAGATAAAGACCTTAATTTGGGCCTCCAAGATATACCTGCAAAGGCAACTGTCTGAATAAGATGTGACAGCAGTGGCGGTGGTAGAGGATGGGCTGTTAGGTCTGCAGAAACTCTGGTGGTAATTATAATTCCTGTGCTTGGAAAGGCTTGGGCTGTCAGGTCTTCAAATTGACCTCACTCACGGAGGGAGCAGCTACTTTCTAGGCAAGCACTTGAGATTCCCAGTAAGCAAAGAGCTGCCTTGGAATCCTTGAAAGAATATACTTTATTCACAAACAGTACGTTGAATAACTGAGCTTCTGAAAGACATTCCAGCATTCATATTTTTAATATTTCTGAAGAGGACTACTATGAGGTTCAAAAAATGCAGATCACATAGGGACAATATCATACATCTCTATTTGCTGCATGGCATATAGCACTAATGAGAGGTTTGAGAGGGAAGAAAATCTTCTAGAAGTCATTCCAGCTAGAGATCTCCCTCTCATCTCATAATGTTAATAGGTTTCTTTGTAATTAAAAAAAAAAAAAAAGGAAGGAAAAGGATGGAAACAAAAAGAACGACAAAGTTGATAATTTCTTGAAAAGACATCTTTGCCCCATTTTTACCATTCCCTATGAATCTGTGGTTGAAAAGTATCAAAAGATGACTTTTCTAAGCATGTGAATATCTACAAAAGACAAAGTAAACACTGGTGTAATGTCCTTGTAAGTATCAGGATATGATCTTAGCAGGAGATCTTGAAAGCTCGTTGATGGCGGTGATGCCATACCATTCAAATGGAACAAGGATTCTCAAAAAATAAAAATTACTTCCTCAAAAATACTGACTAAATTAGACTAAAGGAGGCAAAACGAAGAACAAAAATATCATAAGAAGAAAGAAAAGCCATAATAAAGTCTGAAACGTATGCCAAGACATTAGCATAAATACATTTAAAAGGAACAACCTCTGACTTTCCCAAACGGTTGCCAGAAATTAAAGGAGTAGTGTATGTGTGGGTGCGTGCTTCACCTGTGAGATGCTTCACCGATTTGTACCGACATGAAAAAGTGAGAAAAAGAAAGTGCTAATCTCTGCCACTGCTACTTGTTCTAAAAGTGCCCAGACTCAAATGTTTGGGCATAAGCCTACTCAGAGTAAGAAGGTACAGATGGACATTCACTCAAAGAAAAATATCTTCCTGCAAATTTTGGAATCTTGTATTTATGTACTTGACACACTATCTTTCTGTTTTACAATTACACATGGTAAAACTAATACTTTATTTATTCTCTGATTTCTCTGTAATAGCACCAAAAACATTCCCTTTGTTTCAGACACCATTAGAAAGCTGCGCCTTCCTGCGATATCCTACTCTCATCACGGAACTGCGATTCAGGTCCTGTGCAATGACCGTTGTTAGAATTGCCATCCAGTTAAAGGCTCACTTATCTCCTTCTTAAAACACTCCAGAACTTCAACCAGTAATACAACAAAGCTGTGTCACAGCCAGAAATGAAAAGCGTATCTTTGATCCACAGCACCTGTGCCTAGTACATGTAAAATAACAGCTTCTGGACGTGCAAGGTGTAGACCACATACATAAATGGCCAGTGCATATATACTCCATGTAAGTCCCACTTAAGTTCTCCACAGGGCTTCAGAAGGACTTAAGGAGATATAATTCTTCCATTTTTTTTCTGCACAAGAGTGAATCTCCCCCTAAAATGAAAATTTTGGCAAAATGTTAAAAAAAAAAAAAAGAATTCTGCTTAAACAAGTAAGAAGTCAGTGCCAGACTACCCTCGATTTTCTTTACAGCTTCCCTGGCCCTTTTGTAGTCACGGACGGAACAGATGCACGCTCTTTTATTAAATACATACTCTCATTGCTTCCTGGATGTGGTCTTGGCGTACAAGCTCAGCTGAACGGTCCATGTACCACTTCAAACATCGGATCAGTTCTCTGAATATAACAAATAGCGAAAAGAAGAGGAACCTTCAGCAATAGTTTAAAATTAGTCAGGCAACAAATATTTTGGTTTTAGGGAGAAATCTATAAAACAGTTTCATTTCACTCCATGTCACTGGTCAGCTATAGCTGTCCTAGCTACTGAATTTACGTAATATATACGTTTATTTAAGTTTCAAAACCAGAAAATAATTTCTTCTCTGTAACTGACTTAGACCATGGGGAACACTGAGAGAACATCAAAAAGATGTTATTAAAGAGACAGCTTTGATAAAGGCATGCAATATAGTTCTAAGACCAAAACATACTCTTTTTTTTTTTTAATAGGAAATTCCAGATCTCCTGTAAGAAAGAAGTTTTTAGAAACTAGATCACAAAGAAAATACATGCATCTATTTTCCTAAGTACACGATACCATTTGGACTAACTTAGAGAGTTGCATTTAAAACATATTTTATTTCAGACATCAGACTACCAAAAATCATTTTTGTCTGAAAGAGGTGATAATTAACACAAAGCATGTGTAATTCAGAGGGTAACCTTTTCACCCTCTGAACACGACTACGCCTTCTAGTGTTGTATAGTTTTTTACCTGCCATCGACAGAATATTTTTATATATTGTTTTTAATTACACTAAAACGTGAATGGTTTAAAACAATCAAAACCAATTATAAGCTGCTTTTAATAGTTTACTGTGGCCAAAGATAGAATGTGCTCAAATATACAAAAGAAATGGTCTGAAAGAGAAAAAACACCACCCTGAATGATAACTGTTACTACTTTCAAAAATCTGTCTTACTCTCTGATGCAAACCTCAAAAAAGAATATTAGAAAATAAGGCAGAATCTTCAAAGTGACAGTGAAAATTAAGTTTCTCATCTACTGAAATTATACATTTACTGTAACCAAATAGAACATCTTCTTATGTGAATACCTGTCTACTTTGGAAGAGGAAATTACAGTTAGTTCTCTAAGCTTTCACACAAGTCTTATATCCCAACATCCCTAAGACACGAAATGTATATGCTCTCGGTAGCTCATTAGTTCAGACTGATAATGAGTTGGTGCTGAGTGACAGCGTCTCTTCAGTTAAAAAAACCAGAAGGTAAGATTTGCCAGTTCAGAAAGGCAAGATAAATTCCAAAGTCTGCTCATTCTGAGCCACAGGTGACAGTCAGCAGCTGTTCTCTATAACTGTGCTGAAAACTTTCATCGGAGTAGTTCTACTTTTGAAAACCACTGCTAAACGTGAAGGTTGTGATTCTGAGGGTGACATCATTCAAAAGCTTGCTAATACCATCTCTTGAAGCGATGGATAAACAAAACCTACTTGTAAGCCAGTGCTCCTGCAAAGTGCTTCTGAATGTAAGTGTCCATCACGGGTCGAAAATGAAAATACTTGCTGTCACGCAGCAGATTTATGATGAATACCTGTGGGAGATGAAAAAGTGAACCCATACTAAAGGAAATTGCACATTGTTGCTAGGTTTCTATAAACAAGTTACACAAGCTAAGGAACAACGAAATACGTGAGTTTCTTTAAACAGTCAGTAGTTGTCTTATTAGATGTTATTGCTTGTTCCTCCCAAGTGATAGCCAGTATTGCTGTCCTCGGGTCTGTTGAGGCTATCCTGCCCTCCTCGCCCAAGATTATTACAGAAAACATAAGGCTGGATCCAACTGAATATTTCATATTTCATGGAAGTAAAATACTAGCAACATGATAACAAGAAACTTAAAACTCACTGACCATGAGATAAAGAAAAGTAACAATTCAGCAGCTTACCAAAGACTGAAAGACCAACAGACCATACTTTTCTGTGTTGTCATCCAACACTACAAACAACGTGTCGAGAATATCTTGTAGGAACTAAAATGACATGAATAAACAAAGAATTTCAAATTCAATTGTATTCAAAAGAAGGTTATTTCCCCCATGCTTTATTTCATACATCTTGATATCTTTGTGAAACACCTGCCAAGGACAAACCACCTCATGTTCATCCATATGATGCGACAGATTTTCATTTGGTTTTACTAGGAAGAATTTTTCTCTTTACAAGGAATATTGCTAAACAAAAATGACAGAAAAACAAAAAATAAGAAATACGTACCGCATGCCTGATCTGTAAATATAACTGAGCGTTTCCTTCACTGGAAGTGCTGCCTAACAACAGTGGCAAAACAACTTACTTTCATCCTCCTGTCATTAGAGTGTATCAGATACTGTTCCTCATCAAATTTAAGACTTGGAAGCACATTAACTGGCGCTCCAAATTACGTTTAATATTGAAAACTTCTGTTATATGACAGAAAGTGAAGTTTTTATAACAAGCATTAATTGGGTCAAGTTACATACTGCCAATTGTTTCTTTCATCCGTGACACTGTGGCTTACTGAACGCTGACAACTCAGTGATTTTCTCTCCTGAAAGCACAGTCCTCAGAAAGGATGACTGTGAAGAAGAATGCTAAAGATCAAGTCAACTGCACATTCTCTCATGACTTTTTAATCTAGTCTAATTAAACTTCTGATGAGGAAAACAAGAAATAAAATATAACAATTTATGAAGTCTCTGAAAGGATAAAATTTCTTTTTTTCTGAAAAACTGCATTCTGTTTTTCATATCCCAATGCCAAATGGCAGCTGATTTAGGGAGGGAATCAATTACTTCTCCCCTTGGAATAATTTAATCCGTATCTTTTTATGCTTTTCTCTATAAAAACTAGATACTTGCATTGCCCTGCAAACAAAGTGTACAAAACATGACATTCTTGAAGAATTCCACTATAAATGGGGTATTGTCCTCTTCTGTTACTGTTACAAAGTTATCATGAAGATTAACATTCAAGATACGGCAACATACAAATGAATTACAGTGAAGTGGCTTTAATTATGAACTACTAATTAAGTGACGGGATTTCTCTTTGGTTTCTTCTCTTTGGTTGTTTGCCATTACAAGTTATCTCCTTTTACTTCTAGATTTATAGAAATGAATTCTAGGGAGAGTTCTCAGCGCACCTAAAATTATCAGCAGGGTATCTGGAATGCACTTCTGGTGAGACCACAAGTATTCAAATGCATTCTGAAGTTCCTTTGACCTAAGGAAGTTCAGGTCACACAAAGGATTGGCACGTAGAGCAACACTGGTTACAAAACATGATAAAATTATCAGATAGGAGACAGATTACTGGTAGGTTAGACACACTAGAGGAATTCTGGTGCTCTAGGCAACAGCTTCACTTCACAGTGCTGGGACAGCAAAATGGGTTTGCAGGTTCATTGGCCATTGACCAACTTCACTTTCAAGGTTTCACATTTCTTTCTCCTTTGCGCTGATGTTTGGAATATATTTGCAAAACAGAAGTACTGATCAGCTCTAGCAGCTGTTTGAAAAGGCCAGGTTTTCTGAGTCAGCTCTGTTTTCTTCACTCTAGAAATGACCAACCACACTTAGCAGTTTCAGAGAATGCCCTTTAGAAAATACTGTTGGAACAGGTAAGTCTGCACAGAACACCACTACCAGTGGCTACGTCTACATCAGCAAGCAGCGTGGCTCAACAGGAGTGGGCCTGCAGAGTGGAACAATTGGTGCTGAGGACCCGATACTCGCAGCACGTCTGGGTGAGGGACTTTTACTAAGGATTAGCTCTATTTTGACCCCAAGGACTAACTATCCATTGATTTTTGGCGTGTATCCTCCTGTTCAGTTTCATATCAAAATAAAATCCCAATTCATACACTCCGAGAATTCACAGCGTGAATCAGAAAGTACAGTAAGAGGAACATTCAGAAGCGCAGTGCAGGTCTGAATTCACTTGCTATCACAGATACATCAAAAGACTGTTAGTTCATGTTGTACCTTAACAATCTCCTCGCCACTGACATGTCTCAGTCTTCCTAGAATATCCATCACACGATCTGGGTAAGCTTTCCATTTCAGCAGGGCAAGCAAATCCACTGCAGAACAGTGAGAGAAAGAGCTAGAATCCCTGCGCAGAGGGCAGAATGGCAACCCCAGACCCACCAGAGATGCATTACATGTTACACTTCTGCTCTTGTTGCAGTTCACACTTCTTGGAAAAAAAATATAAATAAGGGAAAACAAGAAGGAAAATGTGGAGTAAGTCCAGTACTACTAACAAAGAAATGAATGGAGGAATGAAGAAGTACTTTAAAAAGAGGCAAGGCTGCAATTTTTCCCTATGTGACTTTACACTGCACTGTGGACAATCCACTTTTGTCTTCCCATGCTTCAGGGACGTTGCCATAACAAATTTTTATTTACTTAGTAACACTGTAAAAGTCGAACAAACCGAACTTTGGATTCTGTAGTAAGTGCTAACATTGAATTTTTTGTTCTTCAATCATTTAATGAAAATTAACTTTGCTTTAACATATGACCCTTCTCTTGCACTTACAGTAACGTCTGTAATTTCTCTGCCATCTCTCAAAATCCTTATTTCCTCAAAAAAACAGTTTCTGCTCATTTCAATAGCGTTAGTAAAAAAAAAGCATACATATAATGAGATTATAACAAAGGAATGTTTTAGTAAAATGAACAGAGCACAAACACACCCATCTTATCTCTCTTTTTCATAATCCCTGTTGCCTTGGGCAATTTTGAAGGATCAGCTACTTACCATTCTGGGTCAGTTTGGTAGAAGAAAGCTGTGTGGAGACTGAAAAGGTCTCTTTGGTGCTGCGCTGGAAGATGAGGCTGGAAGGAATGTTGGGGCAGCCATTGTAGTCCTCTTTGCAGCAGGGCAGCCCCAGGTACAGAGCGTGATTGTTAAACGTGCTGTTCTCATCACACTGCAGGTACAGGACAAGAAATGGAATTGTACCTGGTCTATCTCATTTCACGTACTCACACCCTGACAGCAATTGCCTAGCAGCACTTTTACTGATCTTTTGGGTGCACAAAAACACTTCTAAGAAAAAGCTGTGCTTACCACCTACGGGGCCTGAGCATACATAAAACAGACCCAGCTCTAGAAGGTGTGGTCTCCTAACCACTGACTCTTTAGAACTTATCATGATCTTCCAACTGTACAACTTAGTCTGAAAATCACACTGAAGAAATAAACCAAGGTAAATCAGCAGGAAGAAAAAAACCCAACCACGCCCCCCCGCCCCCGCCACCCCCTTGCTACAGGGCTGCCGAGCTGTAGCATTGTAATATGATGCATTTGAAGTACAGCGTAATTCCATAATACAAAGGCACAGAGTAATGCCATAGGCTGGTAAAACTGCTGAATGCTCACTAGTATGTTTGAATTCAAAACGATAGGATTATCAGAAGATAAATCATCATTATCTGAAGGGAAAAGGGAAGCTGTACCTAGAATAGAAGGCCGTATCCATACCTAGTCATGTGATTTTGATTTTATAAAATTTTGAAACGGCTATTAATCTGTTCCTCACATAACTTCTAATGAGAGGGGAAAAAAGGTAACGTATTGCCCATTACTTATTTAAACTGAAGTAGGTGAAAAGTCTGCAGAGAAGAATTGGTACCTTATAAACATAAAGCTCATGGATATCATCCGACAAGGTAGTGCCATCATCTCTCATCAACGGAGTGAATGCAAAACCAAAGAGCTTCTTTTCTCCCTTGTCTTTTGCTGTAGTAAGAGATAGAAATAAGGAATCATATTTGTACATATTCTGTCCGTCCACATATACCACAAGGTTATTCACAAACTTCTCTGCACGCGTAACAAAAAGCATGCAGGTTACATCAACAACATATAATGTACTACGTCTAATTCTATGCAAATGATCGACAAGCCTCAAAACAAACACAAACATGCCAAACATAGTAAAATATAAAATATACATGCTGTAAAGAAAACACTCTACAGGAAAACACAGCAAAAGAACAGCAGGGGAGAACATCTGCAAAACGTTTGGCCCTGCACTGATTGTTCACAATGTTTTTAATGTGCTGTTTAATAAAGGTAGCAACCAGCTAATTAGCAGTGCACCTTCACTGTACTTTAGGTTGGCACCCCTTTCCTGCTTTCCACCCAGCAACAGCCTCATCCAAACATAAACTGACAACGGGAAGACCTCAGCTTTTTTAGATTTCTCTTGGTTATATTTTGCACTCACTGGAGCAATGTCTGAACTCAAACCGGAGGTGAGACCCACGGAACCTGTCTATAGGGATGGGCAACTTGATGATTTCCCCCCATCGAGGGCTGTTATTGTGGTAAAGGACAAAAGAGTGGTATGCACTCCTGCTTGGCTCTCCTGAGCCCAGGCTGATGCAGTCCTGGAACAAAAGAAAACAATTTAAGATTAAAAGACATCACATCACTACGGATGAGTCATTTTATTACACTGTGATAACCTTTATATCATTCATAGCTTTCTGTAGACATAAAGGAAGAGTCAGAAGCAGAAACTCAGACACAATGAAATCTGAAATTTTTGAAGAGATCTTTAAACTGTGTTTTGGGTCAAAGGATGAGCTAGGAGACCTATGATACCGGATGAATTCCAGAACCTGAAGTTATTATTTAAGCTAAGTTTTCTGTCAAGCATAGAACAGATACAATAAACACATAAGTCCAAATATATAAAGATGAGTCCAAAAAAAAAAACCAAACCAGAAACAAAGGACCTAACGGGACTTTTAGACTTATCTGATAATATCATTTAATCAGATTTCTGCTTCAGTATCTCAGTTCAGAAGTGATACCTGAGCTTTTCAAGCTCTTAAAAATGTTGGTCTTTTGAAATTACAGCCATCCAGCCTCACCGGGTATCCCAGAAAATTCTGATCGAGTTACTTCATTAGTGGTAAGCAAAGAATTTTTGTTGAATAGTCATCACCTATAAATATAATGGGTTCTAAATTTCTGCTTTTAGATATAAAAAGCTCAGAGATCTTGATCAATCTATGTATTCTCAAAATACAGATGAAGAAAAACATGCATTGATATTATTTAGGAAATACGGAAATCCTGAGTCAGAATATAGGTGAAGGAAGTTAGAAGAAATACTGAAGTCCTGAAATAAGGACAGTAAAAGGTCCTTTGTAATGAAGACATGGAGCAGGAAGAACATTTTTTTATATAAGCACTAACCCACGTTCTACACCTAGCACTTACAAAGTGATCCAGAAGATATGACTTCTTATAAAACCACATAGAAAAAAGACAGCTTAGAGATTCTTCACTTTTAGCATCTCTAAGGATAATGAATCCAGGAAGAAAACAGAAGCTAAGCAGACCCAGAATGACACATGCAATATAAATTCGGACGTACAAACACCACACGGGGAATTGTATCATGACAAGAAGAACTACCGGTCATTTCCCCAAGGCATCTCTAAATTCTATCCCAAGAAAATACCGACAATGTTGATTTGACTTTTTCATCTGTAATCAAGGGACTAGCAAGTCAAGTATATCCCATTAACCAGACCCAGTTAGTTTGGCCTGTAGTAATATTCTTCTGGCTTTGAGAAAGTTAAGAATTTGTGAAGGAGCCCAAAAAGAAAGAAAAGTTCCCTGGAATTTTGGGATTCAATGCAAGAACAGCCTCTCTGGGCAGAGATTCATTGCAAAGGCTCTAATCCAAACTGAGTGACTAGCATATACTCACAAAACTCAGTCCTCTCAAGTAAGTCTTAGTAGCCAATCTACCACAATCCCGGCATAAAGGTGGTTTTTTTTTTTTTTAATACAGCAACAAGAATTAGTTGTTGCAGATATGAACAGGTTGGAGTGAGAGTGGTGGTGGCAGTACTAAAAACCAGAATGCCTGCAATATCTGTTATATTTTGTAATAAGAGGAACTTGTTGGGTTTCAACACAGCAATTCCGAAACCTCATTCTGCATTAGGTTCTTAAGGGAAAGTAAAATAGTATTTGTATTTCTTCTATAAGGTACAGTAAAAATGTAAATTTTAATGTGAGCTTTTTTCTGTTGCCTCAAAAAATTACCTGCCTTGGCAGACAAATGGTCGGTCTTTGAATGCTGTTTCATGCTATAAACTTAAATAAATGAATAGGTGAAGAGTCTTTCCTTCTGGTTGTTAACTTAGTTTCTATGCATTTGTACCACAATCTACAGTCTCAGGAGGGAGGATTGTTTAATCTTTAATTCTGAATTGTGATCTGCAAAATATAAACATGAAACTAGTCTCTGTACACCTAGTTACCATGAGACCCAAATATGTGGGTGCATTAGAGGGCAGAGGCAGGTAAGGGAAGCTAAACTAGAAAAAGTATCAGGTAATAATTTTATTGTTTAGGGTATGCCTTGCAATTAAGAAGATATTCCTGCCACCGGAACAGAAAGAAGAATAAGTGAGAAATGTGTCCAGGTTTTTTATTTTTCAGACTATATTGAAGGATACTAACAATTGAGTGAGACCATTTTGAAAAGGAAATACTCATTTTCATTTTGAACAGCACTGTATTCTGGGAATAATTTCACTGCTTTCAACAGGACTATTTCTGGACCAAGATATACTCAACAGCAATAAGGATTTGAGACAGACAGAATATTCTCATTAACGCTGCGTATGGTTCTGCTAAAGTCTTCACAAAGGCATAATTCCGATTTGGATTGTGCTGCCGGTCAGGAAAAGTTTAGAGATTTTATTCTAATATCAGATGAAAATTCTGTGGCAATTTCCCCACTGTACTGTGTAACTCAGCACCCATCCCTCATTTGGCAGTCTCTGCTTTGGAAAGGCCGTAGGTCAGGAACAGTAAAGGATATTTCAACCAAGAACAGTAGTGCTTTGGGGTCAACGGTTGAACTTTCAGTGTTCTGCCCATACTATTGTAAGCTTGGAGGTTTTTTATTAGCTTCTCTACTGTATCACCTACTGAAAGTTATTGAATTAGCATCATAATTAGACAAATGAAATAGAAGAAAGAAAATAGCTACACTTGACTGTGAAAGCAACCTCAGGTCACGCAAGTGATCATTCAGGGGACAGGGAACCTAAACAAAGCAATTCCCTTCATCGGGACTGCACCAAGCCCCACCCAACACACACCTTATTCTAGACTCCTCTTGTTGCAGTCTTCAGTATTTTCTTTTAGATTATGCTGAATGACTGAAATGAAAGTCCTGATCTAGCAGTCTCTTCGCAGCTGCTTCATCTAGGAATGAAATCATACTCTGTCTTTGGGTGAAACCACCTCCCTCCTAACAGAAAATGGCAGCTCATCACACACTGCTCTAGGTGTCCATACCGACGGTTACATAAACCAGATGGTTGCAGTGAAAACTAAGCCATCTAGGGTTTAAAACTAAATTCTTAATATAAAAGGTAAACCAGTATCCATTTAGCGGCATACTAAAATAACCCAGACTAACAGACCCGTGTTAAGTTTTAGACAAATGGATACCTCGACTTCCCAAACCCCATTGCACAGGTGGGATGGTTCGAACTGATGGAGCTCTCTGTTCTCAGGACTTTTCACCTGAAGCACGGGAAGATTTTGAGCACAAACTTTGCCTGTATTTTACAACCAAAATCTGCATTCTGAAAGTTGAGACAAACTGGAAATCTACAGTTTAAGGAGCTGATTCCTTATAATTTTCAGGGCATTTCTATAGACTTAGAGCAGCCATATACACTTAACAGGGTCAATTGTCTTCTACAAGGACAAGGACATTACCATTGAATGGTAAGATAACCCACTAAGTTAGAAGTAATTCCAGATGGCTGTCTCATTTGCTTTAACTTTGGTAGATGAATTTGCAGAGTTTTTACGTCATGTAGAAACTATAGCAGCGACGAAAAAAGAGTAGACGTAATTAGTTTGCAAACTCGATTCGAAGTAGCTGCTCCTTTCTCTTACGTGCATGTGATTATTCCTTCAAATTGTCATTTAGCACTTTTGAACTACACCTCTATTTTCAGTTCAACTGATACTCAGTTTTATAGGTTATTTTTCTAGTTCTATTCTGCAGTTAAGAGGGAACACAAATGTACCTAAGCAGTGAGGAGGAGTTCAAATTAAAGGGAAGGAGAGTTCAACTTCTATTGCCCTTGATGGCCCTTTTACTTATTTTTCAGTAGATATGCTAGCTTATACCTTTGAGTATTTCCTACGCAGAAAAATTCTACGGTCCGCATGTTTGAAATACAGTGCATCTTAGGCATCATTAGACATCACGAACCAAAAATCTCCCTACCGTAAACAAAGTATCTTTGTTGTTTTGACTGCAACTATACAGAGGAGCAATAACATTAAAAAAGGTATAAAGATTGTCTTTTAAATATGTGGTTTAAATTTAAAAACCACAAAAGATCCTTTATATGAAAAGTCTCTCCTTTATGACAAATGTTCACCTGAATTGTTTTCTAATCAGACTGACTACCTTTTACTAGTCTGTCTTTCTTTGTACCATGTCTGTTCTGCTATCCCACGTAAAGCCCTGAAGCACTGTTGCAGTAGTAATAACAGGCAAGGATAAGAAGAAGATAATACCTGTGAATGACCATTCCAACCAAACCCAGAGAAGTAGTTAAGACTGATAATGTCTAGAAATTCCATGGCTTTCATACTTAATCATTAGCCACAGTTACAGTGTAACTAGCAACCATTATGTACATTGGCATTTGAAGATGCTGATACTGCAGTTTGGAGGGTAAAGACCTGCACTGGTCTTCGGCAGACTGCTGTGAAATAAAGTGATGATTAAAAATACGTCACTCCATTTGAAAGGTATGCCTAATGCAATTAAACAGAAAAGGATTGTGATCTTCCTGCAACAGCTACGAGCACAAACCAGCTCCTTACAAGAGATATGCTTTACTTTTAATGAAATCACAAGCAATTGTAGTAATAAAGGAAAAGTTCTTTCAATTAAAAAAAACAGGCTGTGGCGATAAGTTTGGTACACAAGCACTTTGGTGTTTAGACTCTTCTACAATAATGGCTACAAGGGCCATTTTATTGCAGCGGAGGTAAAAAAAAAAAGGTAGGGGGAAGTTATGATTAATACATTTTAATGCAGCCATTTCTCCATTTCTGATAGATGTTTATGTCGAAATACTTTCCCCGTTCACTTCTCTATCCTCACACCCTCCCACCCCACACAAAGCTGACTTATCTACCTTCTTCTCTTCAATAATACTAAAAGCAAGAACGGAGGAAGAAAGAAAAACATTAAACATCACCGTCCACAGCTGGAATGAAGCCATCCCAGGGTGAAAGCCAAGATCTTGGAAATACGGCTACTCAAATTTATTTTCCAAAACTACATTCAGTACCATGACTCCAATAACTCAGATTTAAGAGTCTCTCCTGTAATCACATTTTGTCATGTTGTATGACACACATTATTTAATTTTAATTATTTGTCATATACTCTTCAGTTCCTTCTGACTACAGTTACTCTAAATTGTCTTCTTACTACAGCCACTGACATCACATTTTGCAATTACATAAGCTTTTCAGTTTATGAATATTTTCTCCAAGTCCCCTATTCCCATATAGGGGAAGTGCTCCAAATTCTTTCAAATTGGTAACTGACCACTTCCTTCATCATAATATATAGTTTAAAAACTTAGCGGGAGGGGGGGCGGGGCGGGAAGTAAGATCTGGTTTTAGCTTAGCACTTCCCTTGCATCAGAGACAACAAAACAAGAGAACACGTCCAGGGAGCAAGCAGATGGCACCTGAAGCTCAGAGGAAATAAGCACTTACCTTCAAGATTTCTCCATCCGCATAGAGCACATACATGGTCACTTCAATGTTCTTCTGCACACTTTTCCCACCTCTTTCAAAGTCTCCCTTTTCTAACGTCAGGTATAAGTCGTTGCGGATATCACCTACAGTAAAAGAGTGGAGTCACATGCTTAAATTCAACGTGGAAGACTCAGTGCCTGTGCGCAACATATTTTGATTCTGCAAACCGTTTTCTGTGTTCTGCAAGACTACAGCTGATGCCCAAACCATTCCAAGCAGCAAGTTAATTGTTAATAAAGATGAACATTTTAATATCAGTGCATAAAATCAGACCACTGTTAGTAATGCCTTTATTAAGTGTGAACTCAGAATCAATACTTGCTTTTATTGTGTGTAAGCAGGGAAGGGAAAAAAATCTTCTACTACTTTGTCTAGTTAGCTGATTTGGAAGTATCAGGCTAAGCCTGACAAACATCATTAACATCAGACTTCCCATTTCCAATATATTTTAAGAAAAATAAGTATTTTTGTGATGATCAGCAGAAAATTATGTTCAGTTAGCTCTTCAAGTATTTTCTATATTTTCATAATTTCCTTTTATCATAACAACAAAATAAAAGCAGCCATTTTGGAAACCTGGTTGTAATTCAATTCAGATGGATTAAGAAGGAATTATATATATATATATATTTTTTTTTTTGCTAGATTTTTGGCTAGCCTTTGGTATCCATATGCATGAATGTAAGAAAGCGGGCAGTATGGATACTTGCCAATTTCTCACTACCTCATTTTCAAGAGCTTTCAAGCAAATGACTATATTCAGAAATACAAATGCTAGCATCTATCTCAGCATCTTGTTATCCTGAATTTGACAGATTCTAGCTCACTTTTTTTTTTTTTTAAAGAATCTGATTTGGGAAACTCTGCTTTCAAAATTAATGCAGCCAATTCTAAAGCATGCACCAAAAGGACAGCAGGTAGCACCTATTTTCCTGCAAGATTTAGTTACTGTCACCATTTCGCGATGGCTCACTTACCACTTTTTTTATTTACTTGCCATAAAGGCAAACATACTAAGGGCAATATATAAAAATACAAAAAATTGAAACAATAAAAAGTTAAACCCTTTCAAGGCAAGTATTTTGTTAAGCAGCCTCAAGAGACTAAATAATGAAGTAATGGAATGGTTATCCAGCAAAGCAGAGACTCCTTGAATGTCTGATTTCTTCCACCCCAGTACGTGGAGAAGCTGATGCAGTTAAATCTGTTTATTAATCACAAGCACAATGAAATAGGCAGCATTTGCTTTCAGGCAGTGAGGGATATTCTTTTGTGTCTGTCAAAGCAGCACTTCAAATTCTTCTCAAAGTCTATAACCCCATAGAATTTGTTCCTTAATCTACTGTAGGGACAAATAATAGAAGCTTTCAGTCCTGTCTTTACTTTCATCTTTATTTCTGGACATAAGTACAACTTTTTAAGCATGGAAAATACAGCTCTCTAGCTGACATTCAGTGCTTTCCGCTAGGAACTCTTTTTGAATGGAAATCTGTATGCAAAATGTCCTCCTTTTTCCATCAGCCTCACTCTCACTGTGGATTCACACAGAGCTGACTGCTTGAAACACCTCACAGTTAGAGGTCTGAAAATGCTACGGTTCATTAACGGGAAAAAGATGACAGCAAGAGGCTCGTGAAAGACCTCAAATATTTGATCTGTTTTTTCTCATCAAAGAATAGTCATCAAATGCAATACTCCACGGTCCACAACAACAGAGAAAATTATCTTCCTGTTCAAAATCAAGCTAAGCTACCTATATGTTGACTATAGGAATATCAAGGAAATGCAAAACGCATCGCAAAAGATAGTTTAAGTAGGGACTTTTGTTTTGAAAACCCTCCTGCTTAACAGACTCCATCCTTTTTTCTTAGCAGTTTGCACAATGAGGAAAAAAGTTTCAATTTGTATGCTATAACTCTTAATAGAAATTAATTGTACTCACTATAATTAGCACTTTGGAGCTTTCTATTTTTGACCTCTTTTCTGGAAGAGAGTCTGGCTACGCAAAGCCCAATGTCAGATAGCAAATCATTTTCCAGCTAAATTAAAGGCAGCATTTGGTTATATATAGCATCTTATCTTCCTTTAAGCTTAACAGGAGGGATATTACTTCACTAATTAAAAAAAATGCCTTTGGGGTGGGGGGTAGAGGAATCTAAAAAACAGTGGATTTGCATCAAAACGAAGGGAAAAGAAGGGAAAAAGTATTTTAGTGAAGTATAATGGTGCACCTTGTAAAAATATTGTCTGTTGAATCTTAAAAAAAAAAGGAGAGGTCATTACATATAGTAAAAATAGGAAAGTAAATGTATCTAGCAAAGACAAAAAGCATTTAACTATCAGGTATGGAGCCCATTAGTTTCTTGAAAATCTGGAGTTTAAACTACAAACACTTCCGTGTATTTCAGTGAAAATAACCTTACTACAAAGAAGCATCTCCTTTTCCCAACATATTGGTTAACCACATCTCTTGCTGAGTCCTTGCAAGCCATTTTTTTCTCCAGCTGCTACTGTTTCTGAGGGGTTTGAGCTCAGATGCACTAATGGGCTGCACAGAAACTAGAGCAAATGCTTCAACACAGAGCAGTTTATTAAAAATTTTATTTTGCGTATGCAAATTGCAAGGCTAGAGAAAACATTCTGCACAACACCACGCAAGTGCACGAACAGATAGCGCAGTGCAGCTTGCATGGGACTAAACAGAAAGTGTGATCAGTACGATCAAGAAGCGATCCTTGTCAGCTCTAACAGAATGACAGCTACATATCAAGTCAAAAATCTCGGCAGATAGAGCTTTTCCCATATTTAATTCCATTGTAAAAAGAAAAAGATAAATAAAGAACTTGGCTAGCAAACCAGACAACTCATGCCCTCTGCGCGGCAAACTACTGTACAAACAGTACTGGCTCTGAAGTGACATTAACTCTTGCATTTTGAGAGAAAAACAGCGTGCTACATCAGCTTCTACCACTTAGGCCTCACATCTTCACAAATAGAGCAGTGCAGATTATGAAACTGGGTTAGCTGTGGCCTCCTATCGTCAGTACCGGAATAAAAAAGTGCTAGAAGGCTAGTGGGCCAAAGTATTTATAGACTAAAACCTGCGGATGGTATTTTAAGCTGAGGTCTCTTTGTGTTAGGTGGCTGTCAAGGATGAACTGAAAACCTAATGAGAGTTTTCAGAATGGTATTTGTTTTAAAGCCTATCTCTCTACAATTGTTTTCAATTTAAAACCAAATGTAAACTGCTTCTTAGCATAAAATACATGCAGTTCTAACATATGCCGTTATTAAGTCTTTATGAACTGTCTTGAAATACAGTATTTTTCACAATATTAAAAAAAATATATTTTCTGATGTGTTACAGTAGCATTTCCTTTACCCTCCCTTCACCTTTATGGGGGTTTTGTTTTGGTTGTTTGTTTTAACCTATTTACAAAGCCTTATGTCAAATGTACAATTGTTTAAACTATAAATCATAAATTATAGCTTGGGGGGGTTCACTCTTACTGAAATGAAATCCTTTCTCGTATCACCTGTAACTATATTAACGGTAACGGGGAAAAAAAAGGAGTGGTGGAGAAGGCTACTGACTTCAGTGAAGTTACAGCAATTTAAACCACTAAGGGTTTGACTCTGTAAGAGACTCAGTCCCGCAAGCAAGTAAAATCTTTGAGACAAACTACAAAATGTAGAATACTTACATTCAAGGATAGTGTTATAACGTGCTTTGGCTATATTTGTTCTAGCTCTTCACAATGGTAACTGCTCTTCTTTCTGGCCAAGAGTACCACGTTAAGCCAGACATTCCCCTGGTGGACAGCTCTTCTCTGCAGTAGCTTTGGCGGCCGCTGCACAAGAGCAGGGTGCCAGTAATTGGATTCTGATCTCAAGAGGCTTACTACACCCTTACTTTAAGTTACTACAGCCTTACTTTAAGTTACTACAGCCTTACTTTAAGTTACTACAGCCTTACTTCAAGTTCTAACGTTCTCCAAATGAAAAACATGCAACTACTTCTGAAGCGCAGTAATTTCAACACAGAAGAGGTTAACAGAACGAGGCCCACAATCAGCTTTGTGATCATCACGTTATTTTTTCAAAACAAACGGACTAGAGGAAGTAACTGACAAAGCGCACTGTATGGGACGCGTCTCAAACGCTCTCTGGCCTTCCTTCTGGCTGACCATTATGGGCTTGTTCTCAATCATGTCTCAAAAGATTAAGAGCGACAGGCCTCACACTGCATGATTTTCCCTTGCTTTAACAGTGAAGTCACCTCTGACACCGGTGTAAAAACCAGCTGTGTTGCCCGCTGTATTACTACTTGCCTGTTAAAATTAAGCCGCCTGGTATGGTCAGACAGTCTCTGGAAATCACATTAGATCCATTTCAGCAGTTTATTTCTCTGCCCCCTCACCAGTCAGTCACTAATTTTTTGAAGGCCTATATTCTTGAAATAGTTATAGTATGCAACTATTAACGTTATTGCAAGTGGTATTACAGCAGCAAGGGGATATTTGCCATACTGCCTGTATGGCAAATTAAATTAACTTTTTTTTTTCCCTATAAAGAGAACTTTATGCAAGTTTAACTCTGCATGTTCCTCTAGCTTTCGGTGAACAGAACACTCGATTGTTTCAAGGAAAAGGAACAAACAGTATTTACTAGATTATTTGCTATCCATTGTTCGCCTTCTATGTCTAGAAAAGAATTCATACAATGCTCTTTTTAAATTCAATTATTTCCCTGAAACAGTTTCCTTTCAGTAGTGGTGAGTTGATTTTTAATATATTTTTTTCTGATCTCCCCCAGCTGAGTATTTTAACTTTCCATTTCTGCAAGTTTATTAATGACAAAAATATTTTTTATTCTCCTTGTAAACGCTTTTTGGAGATAATTAGTACATAGCTATGTCTTTTAGTCTCGTTGACCCTCTTGCCACGAACATTCTGAGAACAGCTGATGGATTTTGCCATGTCTGTTCCTTAATGTATTTTTGCCATGACTTTGTGCTCACTGACAGAACAGATGCCGAGATGTTTCTCACCTTTGCTACCGATTCATCTGCCATAGCTACTAAATTTGTCTGAAAGACTGTGGTATGAAGAGAGACTGATAAGACACAGTCTACGCCTCTCTGTTACCAAAGTTTCCCTGTGATGTCATGATTTGCTTTCTTTACCAATCCCCAACATTCCATGAAAGATATGAAAATGGGAAGAAGCAAGCAATAAGCAGACATTACACAGAAAAGCAGAAACTTACACCCAACTATCTTCATCTCTGCATCAGAAAGAAAGGGGAGAGAATAAAGGGAAAGGAAAGGGAGAGAAGCCAGGAAATTAAGACAAGGAGAGAGAAAAAAAGAGAAAGAAACATCACTCACAAGTAGAAGATGAAGCATGCACTTTTCATCAGAGGATCAAAGTAAAAGACAGAATACTTATCAGCACATGGGGAAGGGAAGGGATGTCCTTTGGGGAACTGACAAACGCCATGCCTATGCAATAGATTTCTGATCAGCAAGTTCTGTATACAAATAAAGTTGCAATCCAAAAGGCAAGCAGCACATGCCTCATTGCTTTTATCTCTGGGGAAAGGTAAAATTGTCAGGATCAGATGGACGGTCTTAAACCCAGTAGCAATTTAGAAAAGAAAAAAACCACAAATGAACAAAAACCCACCACACCTCTTCATGAGGCTGGTTTGACTGAATCCCTTCTGATTCGGGCAAAAAACATGATTAAAGTCTTTATGATGCTCTTCTCAGGTCACAACACAGTAGGAAACAAAGAACACGTTATCTTTAGAAATGAAGACCAGGCATGGTTATTTTGTAGGATATTAATCTTGTTCTGCATAACCGTGCAAGATATAAGCACATAAAGACCGGTTCCACTGTATTTCTTAACGATGACCAGCTACCACTCATGTTTCTCATATCTGAGTGAGGGAAAAGATGGCTTGATACAGGAACTAATGCTACTGTTTAGAAAACAAAATGGGATAAGAAAACTGTGTGGTAAGACACAGCTACAGAATTTTAATGGTTAAGATGTCTACATGTGAAGGGATTTCCTATTAAAAAAGGAAGTGAAAATGTTAAAACCTACGACCAAGAAGATTCATCTGAAATGCCAGAGCTATTTCCTTTTTTAAAAATAGATTTCTTGG